AAGGGCTTTGAATGCCAAACAGAGCATTTGTATTTGCTCTTGGAGGCAATAGGGAGCCACTGGAGTATATTGAGGAGTGGGGTGACATCAGACCTGTGCTTTAGGAAAATCACTTTCGTGGCTGAATGAAGGCTGGACTGGATGGAGGAGAGACTGGAGGCAGGCAGATGTACCTGCAGTTTATTGCAATAGTCCAGGCATAAGGTGATGTTGTGAAATACACAGCCTTTGGCAGCAGATTAGAAATGGGGGTGAGGATAGTGCAGATGACACTTAGGTTGTGAGCCTGAGGGATTGGTTACCAGTCTCTGGTATACCCATCCTACCTTTATAATTTTTTTCTCATCCTCTAATGACCCCTTAACCTGCATGATCCTCAGAGTTCTGCTTTTGTCTCTGTTCTCTTTTCTATGTTTTTTCCCTTGGCAATCTCATTTGCTTATTGGCTTAAACTATTAACTCTGGAACATGACTTCCAAATCTCTATCTCTAGTCTTCATTTGTCCTGTAAACTCTGGACCTCTATATTCAACTCCCTATAATATATCTCAGATTGGATGTCCCTTTAGCACCTCAAATCAGTACATCTAAAACAGTTTATTATTTTTTCCCTTAACCTCATTCATCTTTCTGATTCCCCTGTTTCTTTCTAAGAATAAATGGAGATGATATTCTTCTGTTTTTGTAATCATAGAATTTTTTTTTTTTTGGTCTTATGTGAAGTTGATTGTCTTCTCCTCAGCGTTTGAAGGTCTCCATGGTCTGGTACTGCTTTACCCTCCCAACTTTATCTCATTATTTCCCTCTGCACCAGATTATGCTTTGGTTAAAATGTGGCACTCTACCTCTGAGCAGGTTACGTGTTTTTCTTCTTGTTTCTCTTTGATCTCTGTTCCCTGTGTTTGGAGTACCTTCCATCTTTTAGCCTGTTGAATTTCTACTTTTCTTTTGATTTAAAGCCTTCAACATGAAGCCTTTCTCAGTCCCCTAAGCATGTAATGACTTTCCTCCTCAGACCTTCTAGGACACTTTGTGTTATGTAGTAGAGTTGCCTGTATTTGTATCTTACCTGTGAGTTCCACGAAGGCAGGTGCTGTCTTACCTAAATTTTGTGGCTCCCTAACATTTAGCACAGTGGCACAGAATAGGTACTTAATTAGTGTTTCTTTTTTTATTTTTAAAAAATTTTTAAAAAAGTTTTTTAAAATATAAATTTATTTATTTTTAGTTTTCAACGTTCACTTCCACAAGTTTTTGAGTTCCAAATTTTTAACCCCATCTCACCCCTCCCCCACCCCAAGATGGCATGCATTCTGAATATCCCTTCCCCTAGTAGTCTGTCCTCTCTTCTATCTTCCCCCCCCTTCTCTTATCCCCTTCCCCTTCTATTTTCTTGTAGGGCAGGATAGATTTCTATACTCCATTGCCTGTATATCTTATTTCCCAGTTGCATGTGAAAACAATTTTAACATTTGTTTTTAAAACTTTGAGTTTCAAATTTTCTCTCTTCCTCCCTTCCCTCCCACCCTCACTGAGAAGGCCAAGTAACGCAATACAGATTATACATGTGTAGTCATACAAAACAGTAGTCATGTTGTGAAAAACTAAGTATATTTCCCTTCATCCTATCCCGCCCCTCATTTATTCTGTTCTCTCTTTTGACCCTGTCCCTCCTCAGAAGTATTTACTTCTGATTACCCCCTTTCCCAATCTGCTCTCCTCTCTGTCATCCCCCTGCTCTCTTATCCCCTTCTCCCCCTATTTTCCTGTAGGGTAAGACAGATTTCCATACCCAGTTGAATGTGTATGTTATTCCCTCCTTAAGCCAAATCCTGTGAGAATACGATTCACTCATTCCCTCTTTAATTAGCATTTCTTAAATGAATGAGTAAATGAACCTTGTTCAAAATAAAGGTTTGTTTGTTTTTTCTGAATAAAGCTTTCAGGTGATTGTTATAGTTGTTACTAATTATTGAGAACCTAGTGCTAGGTGCTGTAGTTAGAAAATCGAGTAAGTCCTTGCTTTCAAAGAGTTTCTAAAACAGTGGTGGGGAAAGGGTGGTGTGATGATAAGAGAAACACACAGGTAACTGATGCAGAGTAAAATATAAATGCCATGCCTTGAGGCAGGTCATTGCCTAATGATAAATACTAATAATTCATATTTCTTTTAAAAGTTGGTCTTATTTTTATTGATTTTTTTTGCTTTTATACCAGCTTTATTTTTGGATAGCCTTTTCCATTCTCCTGCCTAGTGAGGCATCCAGTGAAACAAAGATTAAAAAAGAGGAAAAAAAAACCCTAAGTAAATCCAACCAATGCATTAACTCTCTTTGGCAGTATTCCACAGCTGTAATCTTCAACTTTTGCAAAGGGGGGAAGGAGGTGCATTCTGTAAACTCTTCTCTGGAGCCAGACTTGGTGATCATAATTACACAGTGTTCAGTTGATTGCATTTTAAAGAATAGCTATTTCTTTCTTTCTTTCTTTCTTTTTTTTTTTTTAGTGAGGCAGTTGGGGTTAAGTGACTTGCCTAGGGTCACACAGCTAGTAAGTATCAACTGTCTGATCTGAGACTGGATTTGAACTCAGATCCTCCTGACTCCAGGGCCGGTACTGTATCCACTGTACCACCTAGCTTCCCCCAAGAATAGCTATTTCTAAAGCACTTTAACTACAGTTACACAGTGAGGTAGGTGGTACAGGGGCTATTCCCATATTCCCATTTGACAGATGGGACTTATAAGTGCCTTGCTCTTAATTTGGTCACAGAATTAGTAAATGATGGACCCTCAGTGTAAACTTGATTTCTGTCTCTCTTTGTTCCACGATGTCAGAGAGGTCACATAGTTGGAAGGGATCAGGGAAACTTTGCTGTGGGAACTGTTCTTGGGACCAGGACTTGAATAATGGGCAGGATTTGGACAGGTGGATATGGCTAAGAAAGCATGGAGACTGAGGAAAAAGCATAGTGTGGGGTTGGAGTCAGAAGAGACTGGCCTTCAAAATCTAGTCTCTTAAATCAGAATCTATTTCGTTACATGTAAACTGGCAAACTCGCAACATGGATGTGGGAATCCAATGAGATAATTTATATACAGTGTTTTGTAAATCTTTAACTTCTGTGTAAATTTCAGCAAGTCTTATTTCATGAGTAAAAGTGGGAAAGTATGGCACATATTCATGGATTAGGGATTATTCCAGTCTGAATGGAACTTTATATAGAGGAATATTAGAAAACTAGATTAGAGCCATATATTTTGAATGACTTTGAATTCAAAGTTGAGGAGGCTGGGCTTCTTTTCATTTATATGCAAAAGAAATAGTTTAAGTAACTTTGATAAAAGAGGATTAAAAATGGTATAAGTATAATCTAAGTTTACTCTTTGTGATATTACCCCTGTATAGTATGCTTTTATTTTATTTGGTAATTAACTGAAATCATAAGGCAGGAATTTAGTTTTGATCCTCAGAACTCCTAGTTAAGTGGAAGACAGGCAAAGCATTAGAAGCTACCCAGCTGTGCCTGAAGCTTTTGGATTCTTCCAGGAGGGAAGAGTTTAGAAGACTGTTGTATTTCATGGCTGTCACAGCACATCCTTCTGAATTTAAGTTACAGGAAGAGAAAGATAATCAGATGATTGTGAAAAGGGTATTTTCCAAAGTGATTGTAAACAACAAAAATTTATCCAAAGGCAAAGCGGACCTTGTGGTGCTGTTTTTAACGAGTCATCAAAAAGATGTTTTTAAGTTCCCAGGAATGCTACACAAAATCGTCGGTGATAATCATGGACGTATAGGGAGGTAGAGATCCACGTGGAGGTTCAGGTAGTCGATGGGGAGTCACTGAAGATTGTGTGACCAGCTATGATTTAGCAAAATAATTGCAGTACAAGTGCACAGTGCTGTATACTATGACTTGGAGGTGGGGAGACCAGTAAGGGAACTGTTGTGATATTCTTGGTGACAAATGGGGATTGAACTAGGATAGTAGTAGTGGGCATAGAAAGGAGGGTGTGGATTACAGAGGTAGAATGTACAAGCTTTGACAACTAATTGTGACTTTACATGGACTGAGTGTGGAGAAGATTGCCGGCCTTTTCCGTTTTACTTCAGGTCCACCTGCATAGACAGGCTCACTGTTAAGTAAGCTTACTTTTTTTTTCTTTTTAGGCAATTGAGGTTAAGTGACTTGCCCAGGATCACACAGCTAGTGTTCAGTGTTTGGTCTGAGGCCAGATTTGAACTCAGGTCCTCCTGACTTCAGGGTGTGTGCTCTATTCCCTGCACCACCCAGCTGCCCCTAAGTAAGCTTACTTTTGACAGTGAAAGAAAATAGTGGATATGATTGTTCATGTAATAGAGCTGTAAGTCTTTGGATTTTATGTATGTAAATGAATATTCCTTAGTAGAAAGTTAGCCAGCCTCTTTGAATTATTTGGTATCTTTGTATTTCTCAGGGCAAAGGGAAGCAATTAGTGGTGGCATCTCTTCTACCATGTATATTTTTTCCCCTTTCCCTTTCCTTCTATGTCCTTTTGTATTCTCCTTTCTTTCTCCATTTTTTCCCTCTTGCTTTTTCCACCTTTTCTCTTATTTATGCCCATCATGATTGTATTACATCTCGAGCATTGTTTGGTTCCTTTCAGAGCTACTGAAGTTGTTGACCCTTTGCCCAACTCTTTATTCCTGTAGACCTTTTTACCCAGTGTTTGCTGATTGGATTTAAGCTACAGTGAACATGTTTCATAATCTTGCAAATAATCAAAGACTTCTTTAAAGCTGAAGAGACAACTACCTGAATCATGTTGATTAGCCATTCTTGGTTGGGAATCTTTGAAGATAGGATGTTTGGTGCTCTGTTAGCTTATTGATTTATTTCTCTCTGCTCTATTTTGGGGGTCTTATGTGTGAATAGGTTTCTGATAAGTGGACCAAAGCACAAGTTCCTCTGCTAAAAATCAACTCAAGAGAGCTCTTTTTTCTGCACTAAAAACCAGATGGCCTAATTGGCACCATGAAGGTCTTCTGTGGGCGAGCGAACCCAACAACAGGCTCAGTGGAGTGGCTGGAGGAGGACGAGCACTATGATTATCACCAAGAGATTGCAAGGTAGGAAAACACTGAACTTCAGTTACAGTTGAATAATTATAGTGCCGTCAGCTTAACTGCCGTGGAATTTATGTGATGGAGCCAGATAGGTCGCACACCAATGATGGAGCAGTACTCTGTGCGTGTAGTTTTGAAATTCTTTTGAAATCCCTTTATGACGGCAACAGAGGCAGGCTGTTCTGTTGTCTGCATTGTGTCCTTGCTAAATGTTCAATATAGGGATTAACCTCATAGTGTTAAATCTCATCCCATGAATGTTTGCCTTTTAGAGGCAGGCAACTCACTTGGGTGATCTGGGTGCTTTTTTGGATGGGGCACCCCTCCTTGTCAGGTCTCATTACTTCTTAGGCTCACCCACAGAATTTTCAACTCCTTTTGAACCAACCTATGCTTCGTGGCATTGTAGTAATAATCACATTATAGGTGTACAGAGAGGAAACCAATATACAGACTCTGGCTGTGTATCAATGGAAAAATGTGGAGCCTAGTGTACTTGAAAAGGCTCTGGCTTTGGAGTCAGAAGATCTTGTTCTGGTTTTACTCTTAACCAATAACTTCTTGGATCTTAGTTTCTTCATCTATAAAATGAAGTGGTTGAATTAGATAATGTCTTAAGATCTCTTCCTGCGCTAAATCCTCTGAATCCGTGTAAATAGATAGACATTCCATATTCTAACATTTTTAGTTTTGTAGAGTATAACAAAAGACAAACAAGTTTATGGTGGTGATGTTTATGAATTTTAAAGATCTATACGTTCAGTTGAAATTAGAATATGTTTATCATGGGTTAGAATGACTGGAATGGAACTATGCATTGCTTTTTCCCTGCTTCTCAACCCCTGAGCTATTTCAAAATGAATCATAACATTATGTCTTAAATTGCCATACTATAGTACAACTTAGGAAATATGCTGGAATTTTATACTGGTAGGGCCACAGAAAAATAGTCATGGGGCACATAAATATCTTAAGTATTGAGAAAAGAAGAGGGTAGTTTCTAGCCAGAGCCTAGGTGTCTCCCAGTGGGAAAGTCCCCAGATACCATAGTAGATATGTTCTAGGTTTGAATATTTAACTTCAGACAAGGTGGAAGTATTCAAGTAAGAAATATTTCTTTTTAAAACCTTGGTGTGTTTGGGAAAAAACCAGCCCTGTTCTTTTTTTGGGAAAGAGTATAGTGATTAAGGCTGTCTAGACTTGTAAGAAATCCATCCCTTTTCCAACCTCTGAAAAGTAGTATGATGTAAATCACACTGATGTAGGAATGAGGTGATGTGACTTATAGTACTGCTTCTGGCTGCCCTTGGGCCTCAGTTTGCTTTTCTGTCAAGTGAGAGAATGAGAATAGAATAGTCTGAAGTCCCCTTCAGCTTTAAAACTCTGTGATTCTGTGAATTCTTCACGTGCCCTTGTTTGTGTTCCCTAGAGTGAATTATGTGAGGATTCAAAGCCCTTGCTGGGAGTCATGGTAATTTAGGCAGATTTTTCCCTGGGGAAAATGCCCTTAAATTATGTCGCAGTGAGGCCAGATGGGACCAGTGTGCCAGTCTTCATGGAAAGAGCTCTTGATTGGCCTGCGCTTCCGTCACCAAGAATGAATATCTTTACGGAACTTTAATGTTTAGCCTCAGTATCCTCTGAAGACAGAGCGTAGAAAGAGCGCGGCAGTTGACATCGGAATATCTGAGTCTGACACATATGAGTGCTGTGACTGTTGGCAAGTTACTTAATATCCTGGAACCTTGATCTCTTCATCTATGAAATGGAGATCATAGTACACTGCTTACCTCACAGAGTTGAGAAGAAAGCACTTTGTAGATGATAGATCACTATATAAATGTAAAATCATGTCATTATATTGTCCTCTAGTAATGCAGAGCCCCATCTTCTACATGATATCTAGATAGATATGTATCATGGTCTCCACTAATGGCCACCTCCTTTGCCTCAACGATGGCATGGACATGATCCTGGGTTCTCACATGGTGTGCCCCTGGTACTGAAGTTCTGGCAGGACTGCCTACACTGAGAGGGCTTTGAGCAAAGGTTTTGCAACATTAGTCAATCAACATTTATTAAATGCCCGCTGTGTGCCATGTACTGTGCTAAGCAGCATAGCTCTGTAGGTGAGCCTAGCTGAGTGTTTGGAGACTTTTCAACAGTGTGATGATGTTTTTAGCCACAGCACCTCCCAGAGACTGTTAAAAGGGACGGAGATCTGCTTCAGCGGAAGAAATACCCAGCCTGACAACATCATTAATCCTTGAAATGTTGTAGGAGATGGTAGCATAATTATGGAATGGGCACATAGACACATGAGAACACACACCCACACATATACAGACATACATACATACATACATACATACATATCTATATATCTGTACATATCAGTGCTGTGATTTCACTGTCGGGGATTTACCTTTCATTGGTGAATATCACAACCTTCTAGGCCTTTGATTTATGGTTTCATTAATTACTGTGTCACAAAGTGAAGTGAACAGAGCAAGGAGGACAATTTATGTAATGATGGTATTGTAGGAACAACTTTGAAAGACTTAGGAATGCTGATCAATATAATGACTGCCTGTTATTTCAAAGGATTCCTGAATGAAACATGCTGCTCCTTTCATGATGGAGGGGTAAAAGTCTCAATGCAGAGTGAGACCTATTTTTGGATGTGGTCAATGTGGAAATCTATTTTGCTTGATTATACATGTTTTTAGTGGATTTTGTTTTATTTTCTTAGTTGAGAAATTGAAAGCTGTGGAAGGGAGAGAGGGTACATTTTTGCTGATTAGAAGAAAGGAAAATTTAATAAAAAGAAGGAAACTACTCTGTCCTCCAAAATTTGACAGCTGACTCTTGGTGAGGCTTGTCTTATGATAAGAAGCAAAGCTCGACCTTTGTTAGCTCCATCCACACTCCAAGCATTCACAAATTGGTAGGATACACCAGACTTGATGGCTGCTGACCTAGCCTTTGAGAGACCTTTGCAGTTCTTCTCTGACTCATAATTAGGTTATCAGAGGAGGACTTGAGCTGACATTGTATCTATATGCTTATTTTTTTTTAACCGGAGGTTTCTAATGTCTTTCTCTTTCTTTCTTTCTTTCTTTCCTTTTTTTCTAGATCATCGTATGCAGACATGCTGCATGATAAAGACAGAGTGAGTATTAGAAAACTGTATCTTACTGTTCAAATTACTCTGACTAGAGAGAAACAAGCAAAACTATGCTATGTAATATAGCAGTATTTCACCATCTACACTACATAGATTTCAAAATAAGTTTGTAATTTTCACTTAGACCTTTGGAATCACCTTAGACTGAAGTAATCAGTTTGACCATTAATGTATTATTATATTTTAAGTTTTTATGCATATTTTTTCTTTACCTTAGTGTTTTCTTTTGTTCTTAGTAGGATTACAGAGGAGTACAAGAACTGAGTATTTTTAACTGCCAGATATGTATCAATAAATATCAAAACTTTATTATTAGCCCATAAAAAATGTTTTGCTAGTTGTCCCATCCTAGGTGTTGTATGGGTAATACTGTGATACATTTTTGGATCTGTGATACCATCAATGTGGGCACTTTCAATAGTGCCTTCCCATTTTATGCAACCCTGTCCATATTCTCCCACAAATTCTCCACTGAGGGACCATCAGCTGCGCTCTGGTGTTTTTATAAATTTCTTGGCCTCATGTGAATTCCAAAAATCACATTTTTCCACAATAATAATATATTTATAAGGTCATATAATAAAAAAGGCTTTGTTCTTATATATGACTGACCTCCCTTCTTTCAGGTCATAGTTCTCTCTGGTAACATCCTTTATTCTTTTTGCTCCAGCATAGTTTCTGGTTGGTTAGTTAAATATGCTATGACAAACTCATTACTTACCGCTCCATTGCTCTTTGGGTGACCAACAATTTTAATTTTTTCAGATAGTGGCTTTCCATGACTCATAATCCTATAGCAGGTTCAAGGAGACTCTCAGGGCCATTAAATGCACTACTGCAGAGATTCCAAAAGGCAATCCAGCCTGCTATTCTAATGTTCAATTCTAGGACCACACCACTCCGTGCTGTATGTAGTGATGAGCCTACTTTATGTCTGGTCCATCCAACTGCATGACAGTAGGCATTCTTCATCCATTTGATTTTTCTTGTATGGGTAGTTAGGCTGCCTTCTTTTGAATTGGTCTCAATCTAATGCAGTTTACCACAGAATGATTATGGATTTTTCTGTGGGGCACATGATAAAGATATCACAATGTCATACAAAAATAGGATTATCTGGAGGCCTTATGAATTTCTTTTCCATTTAGACTCTGTGCTAGACACACTCCATCACTCTGGAAGGCTTCTTTGATAAGCAGTTTCTCCCTGTTTTATACCTTATTTGGGTCACTGATGAAGTTATTTGTTATATTTTTTAAAAGGAATCTTGAATGACTTTTGACTTGTATGGTAGATGCTTTATTGGAGGATGGCCTTTAAGGTGGTGTTTTATTCTACCAAAGCAAATGTGTTTTTATATTCAACAAATATTGAACATGGTGATATCTTGTATTCTCTGCTTTTTAGCCAGGTGCGTGACTATAAATATGTAGTCTGTTGTAGACCATAATTTGTGATTATTTCTTTCTTAAACCTTATCAAGGAGCCCCTTGGACCATGTATAGATTTTTCTCATAAAGATTTTGTGAAGATGGAAAGTAAGGCAAATGGATCAGTAGTTATTGCTATTTTCTTGGGTACCTATTTGGGTAGTAATAAGATGTGTCTGATTTTTACCAAATGTTCTGTCCTTCTTTAATTATCTAAAAAACTGATCTGTCCTCGCCCTTGAAATTGTGTGGCCCAGCCTGTGTGTCACTTTGGCGTGGTCACACTGTTCTTCCCGTACACTGAAATCTTGGATGCCAGTTGTCAAGTACTAGCTTCACTGTCACAAAGGAGAAAAAGGGCTTGTTACAGAAATACGGAGAGGTCTTTTCTAGGTTTCCTTTCTTCGTTGTCATCCTCCCAGGTCCATCCTTAAATACTCTTGGGATAATTTAGCTTGGAGGGGTCTCTTGCCAAACTTTCAGTGAGCTTGTTTCAAAAGGATCATGGATCCTGATGGAAGGACCTTGGAGGCTGTATAATCCAACCGCCTCCTTTTACAGCTGAGGAAAGTGAGGTCTACGGAGGTTAGAAATGACTTGCTCAATGTCGCATAAGTTTTCCTTTCATGATATTTCATTGATTTATGAGTTGGTGCTATTTAGAAACCTCCACCATCTTCCTCTTTAGTATTTACAGTAATGTCCATATTCTTAATTGGTCCCTCAGTTATTTATCACATTTTCTCATTTTTCTCCTTCTCTTTTGGTATTAATTTTAATCTTCTAAATAATCAGTGGTCTGACTATACCTAGATGACTGAAGAATGACACTAGTAACCAGTCATTTCCTGTCTCTTAAAAAATAATCAGTTGGGGCATTTAGGTGGTGCAGTGGATAGAGTGCCAGCCCTGGAGTCAGGAGACCTGAGTTCAAATCCAGCCTCAGACATTTGACACTTACTAGCTCTGTGACCCTGGGCAAGTCACTTAACCCTGATTGCCTCGACAAAAATCAGTTTTACTTATTGTGATGTTACTTTATGCTTGCCATGTTTAGTACCTTGACTTTTAAAAAATAATTTTTTTATTATAAACTTATCAATTGTTAACAAAGGAGAACATTTCAATATTCAAAGAATAAGAAAAAGATTTGTATATGAATCCTTCAACTTCTGCTACATAGTTTTAAAAAAATGCATATTCAGTTTAATGAGGTAATAGCAAAATTGAACTTTTTATTTGCATCTCTATCACTACTCACTGACTTACTCCCTAAGCCCCAAAACAAAGTCAAACAAAACAAGTCACCATATTGGCCATGTCTTAAATATGTGTTTTATCCTGTATTCTTTTTTTTCAAAGGAAGTATTCATGATATTTAGATGAGAGGCTCCAGTTAGTCTACTTGACTTTGTCTTCTCTTGCATCTTATTCCTGAGCCGTGTTTTCCAACGTGTTTTTTGTTTTCTCCTCAGTACTCACTTTTGCATTTATGTATACCAATGTATTAATTTAAAAAAATTTTTTAAATTAAAATTTTTTTTTTGGCTAGGCAGTGGGGTTAAGTGACTTGCCAGGGTCACACAGCTAGTAAGTATTATGTGTCTGAGGCTGGATTTGAATTCAGGTACTCCTGAATCCAGGGCCAGTGCTCTATCCACTGCGCCACCTAATTGCCCCTCCAGTGTATTCATTTGTTTAACTCCATTCAAGGTATAGGTTGGTCACTTGCTCTGCTCTGGCATATTGGGGTATGTGTGTGTTTTTATGGTAGGGAATTTAGAAATATTTTGGACTAGATGGTTCAAGATTAAATATAAAGTTATTGCATATAAATTCTGCAAAAAAATGAGACAGCCCCTTCTTTCTACAAACTCATCTCCTAATTGTGTGTATGTGGGGGTGAATAATCTGCAAAGGGAGATGGAAAAGGGCCAGTGGTCCTTCTTATACATTGACAGGGCAGAGAATAATAGATCTTAATTATTATCATTTGTAGTGACAAAATTATTCCCGTTTCTCATTTTGGACAGTGCCAAGGACTTTGGTCCAATAACTTTTCTGGATTGTCAGAAGCTATGGCTGCTGTGAATGCTGGGGTAGGTCTCAGCAGGGACTGGGCTGGTAGCAGAGTTGGGGGTCCCAGAGGTTGCTGCTCAGGATCTCAGGGGAGCTGGAAGTTGACATGGAGACTCACCCAGTAGACGGTTTGGCTCACTCAGCATCTGCCACCCTGTTTTTCTCTCATTGCACATTCATCTTTAGCAATTAGTATATGGCGCCCCCCCCCAAAACCAACCCTCCCCCCCCAATTAGTATTGGCCAATGTGAGGTACAGGTTATAATACTCTTATTATGGAATCATGGACTTTTAGCATTCAGTAATGATAATAATAATGACAACTAGTGTTTATATAGCACTTTAAGGTTTGCAAAGGGTTTTATCCCATCTCAATTTATCCTCACAACAGCCCTGGGAAGTAGGTGCTATTATCATTCCTATTTTATACCTCCTCCTCCTCCTTCTCTTCATTTTAGTAGTCAGTGTTTATATAGCACATTAAAGTTTGTAAAGCATTTTACCTATGTTATCTCATTAATTTATTAATTTCTAAAAATTATTTAAATTTTGAAAATTAAAATTTATTTAAATAAAATTATATTAAAAATTAAAGATGTTAATTTATTAATGAGATTTATTAATTTATCTTGTTAATTTAATCATATGTAAAATGCTATCTCATTTAATCCTCACCCTGCAAGGTAGATGCTATGTGATCCCCATTTTACAGGTGAGAAATTGAGGCAGAGTGAGGTTAAATGATTTACCTGGGATCACACAGCTAGGAAGTGTCTGAGGCCAGATTTGAACTAAGGTCTTCCTGACTCTAGGTCTAGATGCTCTGTTTACTGCATCACCAGCTGCTTGGGATCCTGTAGGTAGTTCGTATAATAATAATAATGATAATACTAATAATAATAACAATTAGAACAAGGCTATTTTAAAGAATACCTGTATTATTTTCTGTAATATTATTAGAGGTGGGCATTACTCCACGTATTATCAACACTGTCATAATATTTAATGATACCTAAGATGTCTCAGAATTCTTGGCATTGGTGTATATGGACATTTACACTCAATTCAGCATTTACAGAATTCTTTTAATTCCTTCCTCCTTGGCTTTCTCATTTTCTATTCTTCTCCCTACATGCTTTCACCAGTATTCTAATGATTATGGATAACTCAGGGGGAGAGGATGAACCCTCTTAACTCAGGGTTATCTTCTGAATTGTGTGAAGAATGGGATTCTGGACAATGAGTGCTAAGAGAACCTTTTCTCCAGTTTAGGGACCTCTACCCTCAGTCTCTCTGTTTTCAGATTTCTTGTGTCTTTTTAAAAACTTTTTTTTTTTGACCCTGAAAAATGGATTTTATTTTTTGTCATGCCTCCTTCCTTGTGCAGTCAATAGTAAACAACACCTAATAGATGACTTTTTCTAGAACTTTTAGAAAATATTTTTAATTTTGAAGTGAAGATTTTCGTTAAAAACTTCTTGTTCTTAAAGTGACCACAGCAGGGTTAAGTCACTTCTAGATTGTCATATTATAGACAATTACACTTTTGTGCTTGATTTTCTTCTGGTGTCCCCGTTCTGGGGAGCATTTAGGCCAGGCGTGGTTCTTAACCTTTGGTGTATGTGTCCTGGGCACCTCAGGTAGCAGCCTGGCAAAGCCTATGGTGGAACCCTTCTCAGAATTATGTTTGTATATGCTTAAAATAAAATACAGAGGATTGCAAAGGAAACCATATTGAAACACAGTTATCAAAATATTTTAAGAAACAAGCTCGCAGGTTAAGCCTGGGTTAGGAACCCTTGATTTTGAAGAACTGCCACACTGATTTTATGATGGAATTGTCCTTTGTGTGCCTTGTGCTTACAATAATGCCACAAGTGAGCCTGTAAATCCAAATACATAGACATGGTGCTATCATACATTACCTAGGTTTTTTGGTTTTTACAGCTCTTGTCATTATTTGAGTAGTTTCAGTAAGCCCTTGCTAATCTGGAGGCCCCCTGCTCTAGTACACCTTGAGACTTACCGTCATGATGTACACAAGTTCTGGTTTCACAGCAGTTTAGGCAGATTGTATTGATTTCTTAGAGTTGTGTTGGTTTTGCTGTACTAGAAACTGTAGCTTATTTCCTTGGAAACTTGAGAACTAGAAATAACTGTGTCATGTTTTTCTTATTAAAGCCATCCCTGGGCTCTTGACATCATTTGAACAAACGGAGTGACACTAGCATTTCCTGGCTAATCCTTGCATGCTTGAAGCTGCTGGGACAATGGAAATGCACTGACTTCAGCACTTTATCAGCGCTTGTTTTTAAGCTGTAACCTGGTTTTTACAACACCGGTCATATCTTTTCTGGTATTTGTAAAAGAAATTGTATTTTTATGTCTTGAATCAAATGGTTTTTTGTTAGTACTTTGATATAAAAATATTTTCTAAAACTTGAAATTTTTTTTCTAAGCCAATCATTTTTCAGCATTGTAATTATTTTTCTTGATCTTATTTTATTTTGTTTTATTTTTTTGGTGAGGCACTTGGGGTTAAGTAACTTGCCTAGAGTCATACAGTTAGTGAATGTTAGGTGTCTAAGGCTGGATTTGAACTCAGGTCCTTCTGACTTCAGGGCCAGTGCTCTATCCACTGCGCCACCTAGCTGCTGCTTTTACTAATCTTTTTACACTTTCACCTAATTGGAAAAAAAAAATATTTAAAGGGCATTCAGGAACCTCTCAGCAATTTAAATCTATGACTATTTTATTCTAAAAGCTTGAGTAAAATAACTTAAGATGTTTTCATTTTTTAGAACAAATTACTACAGATAATATATACAAGTTTTTGCTCTTATAGAGAAATGTTCTTTTTGGGCAGCTAACATTCATGAAATGAATTTTGTTTCCGAAGATGGAAAGAAATGTCTCCTGGAATGAGTAACAGCACTCTTTAAACCCTCCAAAACATTAAAGCAGTAGAATTTCACCAACTAGACTGCAAGTAAATGAAGAAATAGGCACATGCATAATTGACATCTTTTTTTGAATATTGTTACAAAATCTAATGATAGTAAGAGCTAACATTTATATATATTGCTTTCTATATATGTATATATTTATATGTACTGCTTTAAGGTTTATAAAATGCTTTATATATCTTGCTTGATCCTCACAAATACAAGTTGTAAAGTTTTATTATCACAATTTTACCAATAAGGTAACTTAGGCAGACAGAGGTTAAATGAGCTGCTTAAGGTCATGCAGCTAGTGTCTGAGGCAGGATTCAGAGTTAGGTCTTCTTGCCTTCAAGTTTAGCATTCTTTCTAGTACTCTATCTAGCTATGCCAATCTGATTGGATTTGACTAGGAGTCATTTGACCAGTTGGTTTCTCATTCTGCATCACTTACTAGCTTTATGCTCTTAGATAAATTGCTTAATCTCTCTGGCCCACAGTGGTCTCTTTTTAAAAAAATAAATTTTATTTTTTCATTTAGCAAAAATCTACCCTTGCTCCTTCTCTCCCCCCACAATTAAGAATGAAAGAAAAAAATGCTGTTACACATGTGTAGTCAAGCAAAACAAATTTCCACATTGACTCTGTCTGAAAGAAACAATGAGTATGTGTTTGTGTGTGGCTGTCTCATTCTCCATTTTGTTTTTTACCTCTCTGTCAGGAAGTGGGTAGTACGTTTTGTCATCAGCTTTTTGGAATCCTGGTTGGTTATTACACTGAGCAGAAGTCCCAGGTCTTTGAAAGATGTTTATCTTTACAGTATTGTTGTCACTATATATAAATTGTTCTTGTGCTTCCATTCACTTCATTTTGCATCAGTTTATACAAGTCTCTCCAGGTTTCTCTGAAACCATCCCCTTCATCATTTCTTATAGCACAATAGTATTCATCACATTCACATACCTTAATTTGTTCATCCGTTCTCCAGTTCATGGGCACCTTCCTTCAGATTTTCATGCTTTGCTACTTCAAAAAGAACTATAAGCATTTTTGTGTATCTTTAGGGTTTAATCTCTGAGCTCCCTCTGCTTGCCTGTTCCCCCTCTCTCTTTTCTTTTCCTCCTGTTTCCTTGATGAGAGAAATATATTTCTGTAATTGAATCTGTGTGTGTGTGAGTGAGTGAGTGAGTGTGTGTGTGTGTGTGTGTGTGTGTGTGTGTGTGTGTATGTATGTGTGTATTCCCTCCTTTGACTGGTTCAGATGAGAGTGAGGTTCAGTAGTCAGCCAGTTCCCGCATCCCATCCTCTTTGTGTAGATGTCTTCTTGAGCATCCTGATTATGTGGGATGATTTTCCCCAACCTTCTTTTCTCTTCCCCCTCTAGTGTATTCCTCTTCCTCTACCTTTCCATTATTCTTTTAAGATCATTAAAACATAACAGAATCACTTTTAGGCCTTCTGTTTAATTAGAATCCCTCTATGACCCCAGATAATGATAGGGTTCAGATATTAGAATGTAAACATCATTGCTTATTTGTGTTTTATTTTTCACATTTCTCTTAACTCCTATGTTTGAACTTTAAAGTTTCTGTGCAGTTCTGCTCTTTCATCAGGAATGCTTGGAGGTCTTCTATTACATTAAATATTCATTCATTCCCCTGTTTATTATTTTACACAGTTTTTCAGGTAAGTTATTCTTGGCCATAAGCCTATATCTTTGTCTTCTGGTGTATTATGTTCCCAAGCTCTCTGTTCTTTGATAGTAGTGACTGCTAAATTGTGTATGATTCTGACCTCGATGCTTGAATTATTTCTTTCTGATTGCTTGCAGAATGTATTCTTTGACCTGGAGCTCTGGATTTTAACTATAATGTTCCTGGGAGTTTTCATTTTGGAATTTCTTTTTAGGATTCTGTTTCCATTTTGCCTTCTGTTTCTAAGAAATCGAGGCAGTAATCTTTTAAGATTTCTTGAAATAGGATGTTTAGGCTCTTTTTTTGGTTGTGTTTTTTTAATAGTCCAGTGATTCTTAAATTTCTTTCTCCTAAATCTCTTTTCCATGTCAGTTTTTAAATTATGAGATACTTTGATTTTCTTCCATTTTTTTCAGCCTTTTGACTTTATTTTAATATTTCTTGTTGTCCTATGGAGTCGTTGTCTTCTATTTGGTTCATTCTAAGTTTTCAGGCTCATTTCTAATTTTAATTGTTGCTGAGCACGTTTTTATGTCATTTGTGCCAAGTTGTTAATTCCCTTTCCAGTTATTTTTCCATAACTCTCATTTATTTTTCAGTTTTTTTTCTGGGGCTCTCAAACATCTTTTAGCTTTTTAAACACTCTTGTTTCATCTCTTCCAGTAATTCTAGTTGAATTTCTGCCAAAACTGTGTATTCTTTGAAGCTTTGATTGTAGATATTTTGGAGTCATTCTTTTCTGGATTTGTGTCTTATGCATCCATTCCTGTCATCAAAGTAATTCTATATGGTGGGATTCTTTTTTGTTTGCTCATTTTTCCAGCCTAATTTTTGACTTTGAACTGGGCTTTGGGCTGGGCTTTGCCCCACTTTTGGAGGGCTCTGGACTTGTCGTGTTGCTGTTTCTTGGGGTATTGAGTATTGCGTTATTTCAGGATCTCAGGGACAGCTTAGGCTGGAGACCTGCAAGCTTTCAGTACTCCCAGAGTGGTCTGCCCCACCTTGGTCTCAGTGAGCTCTGTCAGTTTCTGACCTGGATTTGGGTCTGAACAACAGAAGATGTTGCTGGACACAGCTGCTGTCAGCTACCTGGGAGCACAGCATTCAACATTCACTTCCACAAGATTTTGAGTTCCAAATTTTCTCCCCATCTCACCCCTCCCCCCACCCCAAGATGGCATGCATTCTGAGTATCCCTTTGCCTAATCTACCTTCCCTTCTATCTCTCCCCGCCTTCTCTTATCCCCTTCCCCTTCAGTTTTCCTGTAGGGCCAGTTAGATTCCTATACCCCATTTCCTGCATATCTTATTTCCCAGTTGGATGTAAAAACAATTTTTTTTAAACTTTTGTTTTTAAAATTTTGGGTTCCAAATTTTCTCCTTTGCCCCCTCCCCACCCACCCTCATGGAGAAGGCAAGCAACTCGATACAGGTTATACATGTGTGGTCATGCAAAATACTTCCATGGTAGTCATTTTGTGAAAAACTAAGTATATTTCCCTTAATCCTATCCTGTCCCCTATTTATTCTATTCTCTCTTTTGACCCTGTCCCTCCTTAGAAGTGTTTGCTTCTGATTACCCCTCCCCCAGTCTGCCCTCCCCTCTATCATCCTCCTGCTCTCTTGTCCCCTTCCCCCCCATTTTCCTGTAGGGTAAGATAGATTTCCATACCCAGTTGAGTATGTGTGTTATTCCTTAATAATGTTTTGAAATATGATGTCTAGGCTCTTTTTTTGATCATGACTTTCTGGTAGTCCAGCAATTCTTTTTATTTTTAAAAACATGGCAAATAGTATTTTATTTTTTCCCCCAATTACATGTAAAGATAGTTTTCAGCATTCATTTTTTATAAGATTTCAAGTTTCAAATTTTTTTCTCCCTTCCTCTTTCCCATATCCCCGCCTCAATATGGCAAGCAATCTGATATAGGTTATACATGTGCAGTTATGTAAGCATATTTCCACATTAGTCATTTTGTGAAAGAAGAAACAGAACAAAAAAGAAAATCCATGAAAAACAAAAACCAAAAAATAAGTGAAAATAGTAGGCATTGATCTGCATTCAGACTCCATAGTTCTTTCTCTGGATGTAGATAGTATTTTCCATTATAAGTCTTTTGGAATTGTTTTGGATCATTGTATTACTGAGAAGAGCTAAGTCAGTCATAGTCGATCATTATACAGTGTTTATATTACTGTGTACAGTGTTCTTCTGGTTCTGCTCACTTCACTTATCATCAGTTCATGTAAGTTTTTACAGGTTTCTCTGAAATCTGCCTGCTTATTATTTCTTATAGCACAATACTGTTCCGTCACATTCATAGACCACAGCTTGCTCAGCCATTCCCCAGTTGATGGGCATCCCCTCAATTTCCAGTTCTTTGCCACCACAAAAAGAGCTGCTATGAATATTTTTGTCTGTGTGGGTCCTTTTCTCTTTTTTATGATCTCTTTGGGATACAGACCTAGTAGTATTGTTGGGTCAGAAGGTATGTACGGTTTGATTGCCCATTGGGCATAGTTCCAAGTTGTTCTCCAGAACAGTTGTAGTCCAACAGTTCTTAATTTATCTCTCTTCCATCTATTTTCTAGGTCAGTTGTTTTTCCAACAAGATATTTCACATTTTTTCCTATTTTTTTTCATTCGTTTGACTTTGTTTTATTGTTTCTTGCTGTCTCATGGATTCATTATCTTCCAGTTGCTCAATAGTAATTTTTAAGCACTTATTTTCTTCAGTGAGTTTTTGGATCTCTTTTTTCTATTTGGCCAATTCTGCTTTTTCAGTTCTTTTCTTCAGTGAATTTTTTGTACCCTCTTTTCCATTTGGCCTATTCTTCTTTTTAAGGAGTTCTTTTCTTTAGTGAATTTTTGTGCCTCTTTTACCATTAGGCCAATTCTATTTTTTAAGGTGTTATTTTCTCCAGTGTTTTTTTGTGCCTCTTTTACCAAGCTGTTACTTCTCTTTTCATAATTTTCTTGCATCACTTTCATTTTCTTTTCTAATTTTTCCTCTACCAGTCTTATCTCTTTCTTTAATTCTTCTAGGAATTCTTGTTGGGCTTGTGTCCAGTTAACATTTTTCTTTCAGGGTTTGGTTGCAGCTGTTTTCATACTGTTTTCTTCTGAGTTTATGTCTTGGTCTTCCCTGCCACCATAGTAGATTTTTATGGTCAAGTTCTTTTTTTTGTTGTTTGCTTATTTTTGTAGTCTGTTTCTTGGCTTTGAACTTTATGTTAAGGTTGGGCTCTGCTCACCTGAGGGTGAGCAGCTTCAGGCTTTTTCATGCTGCTGTCCTCGCTAGTTCTGGAGGTCTGCAAGTTTTTGGTGCTTCCAAGGTGGTATGATCCAGAGAGAGGTGTGGTTGTTGCTTTCATGGTCTGTGCTCTGGCCCTTACTTAGGAAAGCCCTTGCTCTTCACACAGAGCTGGTGCTCCACCTGGCCCTGGAACTATGATGAAGTCCCCCTTTCCCTTGTAGCTACAAGTGCTAGTGCTCCTCTCTGCCTTGAAATTGCAACCAGAGTCCCTGCTCCTTTGTGACCAACCACAAATACTCCTCACCCCCCTGGAACTGTGACCCAAAACTGCCTGTGGTCAATAGAGTTGCTGATCAGTGCCAGCACAGGGTTCCCTGTAATAATCTCTTTCTGACCAGTTGTCTGACCCCCTAGCCATTTTCTTGGGGTTGAGAGCTCCTGAAGCTGCTGCTGCTGAAGCCACCTCCAAGGCCTGGTGCTGGTCCTGGTCCTGGTGCTGCCTGCCACCGTGTCCGCTCCTGGCTGGTGCCCAGCTGGGTGTGACTGACCTATTCGGTTGACCTCCTGAGTTGTCTAACCCTGGAAAAATGTCTCACCTTTTGTTGACCCTGCTATTCCACAATTTGAGGAGTTATTTTAAAGTTGTTGGGGGGGACAATGCTGTAAGACAATCAGCTGAGTTACTGCTTCTCCTCCACCAGTCTTTAATCTTCTATAACTTTCAACTAGAATGGGGAAGGCAGGGAGTTTCCTCAGCCATTGGGGGAGTGGAGAAAGAGAGACGTTTTTGGCAGGCAGGGCCTGGGCCAGGCTTGGTGTGGTTTTGTGGATTCAAGCCTCTTCACCATTTTCTAGAATACAGGAGGCCACAGTGATGGGCTTAGAAGGAACTGAGCCTTTTGGGTTTCTTATGGCTTAGCCATGTCACCACAAGTTACTGTTGAAGGTTTAATAGGTTGGACTCAGTGGCCACTGAAATCCTATCTTCTATAACTATGAGATTCTGGGATTCCACCTGAATAGTAGCATTAGTCCTCAGAGCTGCCTTCTCAGTTAGGAGCCAGGCTGTCTTTGCCCCTGGCGGCGAACTCTCGGGGGCACAGAGGGCTGAGAGCCTTGCTGCCTTTGGCCGAGGGAGGCTAAAGTGGGTGTGATTCTCTCAGGCTTTGGCTGGTTGGGCTCAGGCCTCGATGCTCTGGTGCTCTGCTTGCCTGGTAGAGTTCTGAAGTTGCCTCAGCTGTTTCTTGTCCTCCCCCTCCAGTTCTTCATTAAAAGCATGTTTGCATTGTAATAAAGAATTCTGTAAGATGCAATGTAAGAGATCTCAGATGAAGTGGCTTCTGAAGTTGAGGATGGGGGGCCTCTGGATAAGGTGGCAGGATCCTTTGGGGCTTGGAGTTCACCCATCACCTCCTCAAAGCACGTGTTCCCCTTCTTACACTCATCTGGATATCAGGAAGTTGGGCTTGCTGAGACCCATCAGGGGCACTATTAGGCTGTGGTCTTAACCGAAATCACTAAGACCGGATTATAGTAATTTGAAGACAATGTTACTTGAAATAATGACTCTCTCTTTTTCTTAGAATGTGAAGTATTATCAGGGCATTCGGGCTGCTGTGAGGAGGGTGAAGGAAAGAGGACAGCCAGTGATAGTTCTGGACATCGGAACTGGCACAGGACTTCTGTCAATGATGGCAGTTAGCGCTGGGGCTGATTTCTGCTATGCCATTGAGGTGAGCCTCACTTACCCACATGTGTATTGTCCTCTTTGGGTGATGGGATGGCCAGTGTTTAGGAAAGACTTAGGTGAGTCATTTATCCAGTGTCACACAGAGGTAATAAGGGTCTCTTTCCACTATGCAGCATGTTTGCTGGTCCTCTCGCAAGACCCTCCATCTCCTGATCCTGGGCGTGGAGTGCTCTCCTTCCTCATCCTTATGTCCCAGCTTCCCTGACATCCTTTAGTTTTAAAATCCCCCCTTCTGCAAGAACCCTTAATGCTGGGTTTTTCCTCTAAATCCATCCCCAGTTTATCCTGTCTAGCTTATTTGGACAGAGTTGTTTGTATGTTGTCTCCCCATAGGACTGTGAACTCTTTGAGAGCAAGGTCTACCTTCTGCCTTTCTTGGTATCCGTAGGTGCTTAATAAATGCTTAATAAACAACAACAGTTAAAATAATCAGCATTTTTGAACAGCATGAATGCTTTTAGACTTTTGAAAAAATAACCTGGCAAAGACTAGTGCTGTAGTTTAAAATTTAATTTCTCCAAAATTTTTTAGTGTTTTTCTTTAGTTACTGATTAAACACATTTGGTTTTGGAAAAAACCCCAGACATTGTTTTTTAACTCTTTGCTTTGCCGTATTTGACATCATCTGTCTTTAAGGTGTGTGTAGCGTTTTATTCTTTATAAAATGTGTTCCTGTAGACCGTGAGATTCTTTAGAGCTGGAGCTGTTTGTTTTTTGCCTTTCTTTGTCTCCTCAGTGCTTAGCATGGTGCCTGGCACATAGTAGATGGCTTAATAAATGTTTATTTACTGACTGAGCTTAGATTATATCATTTGTTCCTTACAAGTGTCATGTGATGTAAAAAGATTTAGGAGCTGGGAATCAGCAGAGACCTGGGTTCAAATCCTTCATCTCACATTGTGTGCCCATAATCAAATTATATTACCTGTCTGAGCTCAGCATCTTCCTCTGTGAAGTGCAGGTAATTGTACCTGGGTAACATACCTCACGGGGCACTGCAAGGAGCCAATGAGGTATCGTATTGGGCATCTTATGGGCCTTTATCAAGAACTATTTACATGCCAGCTGCTGTCATTATTACAGCAACCTGTGAGACAGGCAAGGCATGCATTAGACATAGGTGAGAAAACTGGACACATTTAAAAATTAATTTTAGCCCTCATTTTCACAATGCATTATAATTTATAAAGTACTTTGTAATAATATGGTGAGGTAGGTTCTACGTATTTCATCCTCATTTTACAGGTGAGGAAACTGAGGCCTAGCAAGGTGGGGTACTTGCCCGCTATCATCACACAACTAATATGTTGGAAATAGGCCTTGAGCTCTGGTCTTCTTGTGTTGAAGCTCTGTACTTCTTGCACTGCTATTTGAGGGCTTGCTGCATTGGGGCTGCCACGATTTATTTCTTGGTGTTTGACTTTGGTTCCTCTGACCCCTCTTTATTGTGTGTGTAAGGTTATCCTTTTGCTTCTTAGAATTGGGTAATTTCAAGTGCTTTCTTTCCTCACTCTGAGTAGTACAAATGAAACACCATTGCTTGTACAATGTATGTATGTGTGTGTATATGTATACATATATACTTACACTACGTATAGATATACATATGCATCATCCATAGATATATTAATAAATAAGGACTTTGTTCTTCCATTAGGATCTTTGTCCATTAGCAATTTCTTCCCCTTCTCCTATGGAGACTGAGATAGCATGTCACAGATAGAAGCCTAAGAAGGAAAGGATGAGTCTTTTGAGCTCTCACTTGAGAGAATAGCCCCAGGCCTTTCTTCTTGGCATTTGCCAGATAATTGAATAGACAACTCTGGGAGCAGATTTATGCCCAGAGCACATGGCAGGTACTTTGCCACTTTTTACTTTGTCTCTTGTTGCTTTTCTTTTTGCTTTTCTTTTACTCTTAAAATCAGCTGTGAAGGTCTCTCCTTTTTTCCCCAGTAATAAGTTTATAGATCAAGTGTCCATCTGGGCTCAGATGGAAATGTAGAACCCGGAAGCATGGCTGAGACCTTCTGTTTTCTCTTGTGGTCCAACCTGGTGTGAATGAGAATATTTCACTCTCATGCTTTGAATCTCCTCGACCAGTTACTGTGCTCAGAGACCCCAAAACATGGCACCAAAAGCAGAGGCAGCAGAGAATATACTGTCCTCCACCAGTCACCATCCTGGAAACCTTGTAAATGGGGAAGCAACTCTAACACTTGTCAGAGGTGGAACTTTTCCTATATGAAAAAAGGAGAAAGTCTGAGAATCCATTTTTGGAGTTGTCACCCCCAGTTTGGATATGAATTTGGAGGACTACAGCATCCCACCTCAGTCTCGGGCTCCTGAGGCCTTGGTTGACTGTACAGGATATCCTGTATGTGCCCATTTTGTGGGGTGTGTCATTCTTGTGCTGAGGCCTTTCCCTTTCTCACTCCCATCCTTCCCACCAGCATGGACACTGGAGAGGCCTTTGCTGCCAGATATAGGTAGGTACTCATACCAAGTGCCCTCAGCCATGGTGAGTGAGCCCTAAGTCCACTACACCACGCAGTTTTTCTGGTATCTCAGTTGACTTGTTGCATTCTTGGTAGCTGGTCATAGTGACATAAACAACCAGCTCCCATAATCAGAAATTTTAATGTCATCGTTGCTCTTATTCTCAGGTAGACTTTGAGTGGTTGGGACATTTGCCTCATTTGCAGTATTTAAGTCCATTTCAAGAATCATCCTGGGCAGATTAACTCACCTTTCTCTTTGAAGCTGGGATTTACTTAGCTCGTTAGTATTAGTTTACAATTATTTTTATTACAGTTACAAATGATAATGGTGATACAGTTACACCTTATATTCCATCTTTTCTCTGAAGAGCATTGAACTCATAATGCATAGTCTCATTTTTTTCTACAACTCTGGGTATAAATTTCTACAAAAGAAATTATATTTTATATTTTAAGTGAGATAATAGGATTCTTACTTATTTGGTTAAGATAAGCCTAAAAGAAACTTTTGTATTTGTATAATAAAAAATGGAAACATGGATACACTGCTGAATCAGAAGAATAAATTAATTCTATGACATCCTTATCTGCAGCTTCCCAAATTCAAGCCCAAGGATCTTTACCAGGAGGCAATTTCAGTTGTTGCAATAGTATACTAGTAATCTCTCATTTCAGCTTTGATTTTGGCTCCTTATTTCAGGTTTTCAAACCAATGGCTGATGCTGCTGTGAAGATTGTGGAGAAAAATGGCTTCAGTGATAAAATTAAGATCATTAATAAACATTCTACTGAAGTCAGTGTGGGGCCAGGTAAGGGTCATGGATTCCTTTCTCAGATGTCTTACTGGCATATTTCTATGTGAGGAATGTGTAATGTCAAAACTTAGAAATCATGGAATCTTAGAAATAATTTAGAAGTTGTCTACTAACCTAACTACATCATGAATCCCTGACAAGTGGTCATTCCAACCTTTGCATGAAGACTTTTCATTTCATTATTAGGCAGTTTGAATTAATAGGAAATTTTGCTCAATGTTGAGTCAAAATCTTATCTCCCTGTAATTTCTCCCTTTGCTCCTAGGTCTCTCCTCTGGGGCCAAAAAAACCAAGTGTAATCCCTGATCTCTCACATGACATCCCTTTAAGTACTTGAAGAAGGCTACCATAATCCCCCTGTGCCTTCCTTTCTCTATGGAAATGCACATGTGAAATTGAAAGGAAGAATAGATTTTTGGGGATGGTAATTATTAAAATAAGTATATGGCTTATTCTGATATTTTTTTCACTAACTAGAATTGAAGAAAACTAATACTAACAGAATACCAAAGGCTAGAGAACGTAGAGATCACTGATGGAAATTGGGGATCATGTCAATAGGTAGAAAGGTTATTATCCACAATAAGGAGAAGGCTTATTCCTACATTTGAGGCAGGCAGGAAAGCATTACTTATGATTCAGATCTATACTAATTATTCATTTTAAGTTCTGTTTAAGATAACAGACAAGTTATAACTCATAACTGGAGGGAGGTTGCGAGATATGTGCTTGTAATTATTAGGTCATTATTGGTCAGGCCTGAAAGGCTCGAGATCTAAAATAATATTTCCACGTTAATTTTTTGTTTCCCAGTTTTAGGCAGGAGTAAATCCAATAAATGATCAGAACAGTCTATTTATGTAGTCTTGGTAGCCTCACCAAATACAAGTGATAGCAGATACCCCATAGCAAAGTATGACGTTGTGAGCTTTCCAGAATGGTTTCCAAATCTAGATGTTTAAGATCAGCTTTTTAAAATACTACTGTGAGCTTATAATTCTTTTAAAGTAACCATCTCAGAACTTCTGTCCTCTGGAGGGCACAGCAGGAAGAAATGTTTATGTTAGAAGACAGTACAGTGAATTCTGTTAAAATCACTCCGGTAAGTACAAGGTACAGTGTATTAGGAAGTAGAATCAACAAGATTTAGCAGCTGCTTAAATATGGGAAATGAGGGAAAGGAAAGAATAATAGAGGACTCTGAGATTATAAAGCTGGGAACCTGGAAGGGTGATGGTATTCTCAACAAACAGGGCATCTTAGAGAGGAGGGATGGGTTTGGTGGGTGGGGGAAAAGACATGTGAGTTCCGTTTTTCACATGTTGAGTTTGAGGTGCCTCAGAGCAGTGGAATCAAATTCAGATAGAAATGGGGGCCGTTGAACTATACATAAGGATCCCCACAGGCTCCTATTGCTTTAGACAACTACATATAAATATTAGCTATGTTCTGTCATTTTAATTTATTTTGTAAAATATTTCCCAATCATATTTTAATGTAGTTTGGACTGCATTTGGTGAGAGAGTGGTGCTTGTGTGTGTGTGTGTGTGTGTGTGTGTGTGTGTGCGTGTATGTTTTATTTATACGTATCTAGCTGTCTAATCTATCTGTATCTTGAAATGAGCCGCATAAAATAATAAGCCCGTGGGAAGGTCTAAGTCTGAGTTTTGGGGCAGGAGTCTAGAAATGAATGGTGATCCAGGAGAGGAGAATGAGGAGGTCAGACAGTTGGAAGGAAAACCTGGCAAGAGCAGTGTCACCACAGCCTGGGGGAGAGAATATCCAGGGGCAAGGGGAAGGGTCAGTCCTGTGAAAGGCTACAGAGGGGTGAGAAGGGTGAGGACTGAGCACAGGCTATTCACTAGATTCAGCAGCTAATGGACAGCAGGTAACCTCAGGGAGAGCGGTCTAAGTCGTTCAGGTTTAGGATCCATATTGCAAGAGGCTGAGCGGCAGTGGAGGCAATAAGCTGAGACTTTTCTCCTAGGAGTTTGGCTGGGAAAGGGAGAGGACAGGTGGTGGGGCAAAGGACAGTGGTTTGAGCGGGTCAAGGCGAGGTTTTTAAATGAACGAGGGAATCCTGGGAATGCTTGAGGGCAGTAGGAAGGAGCCATTCGACGGGGAGAGATTGGAGAAGTGAGAAGCAGCATGATAGAAAGGGCTGAGGGTTGGCAGCTGCTGTTTGGTAGCTTCCCAGGAAATTGGAGGTGGCCCCTGTCCTGCGAGAAGTTGGGAGGCTTCCAGAGATATGATCTTAGGGCTGGGGCCCGAGCACCCATCAGAAGTGTTTGTCACACTAGTTATAATGCTGAAGGTGATAGGGCTGGTGATCAAATACTCATTTAAAAACAATTATTAATAGTAGATAATGGGAAAATGGAGCTTTATTTCCCTTCATAGGAGTTGGCTTTTTTTTTTTTGGTTACAGAAATTGTTAGTTCAGTACTTTAAATCCATCATGTTGATCAGCAATTGAATTTATCATTTGAGTTTTTACGCCCAAACTCCTGCCCTTAGGAGTGCTCGTAGCCTGAGACATTATACCTGGACAAACGATAGCTATGCCAATGGCACAAATGTAGACACTAAGCTAAACATTTACTCAGCACCTACTGTGTGCCCGGCACTGTGCTGAGTGCTGGGGATGCAGTTAATAAAAGGAAAGACAGTCCTTGCCCTCAAGGAGCCTACAGTCTAATGGGAGACAACACACTAAAGGAGGCAGGAAAGTGTGGAACACTGAGGGGTCCCTGACCTAGAGTCCTGTTCTGTGGAGTGGAAATCAGGCAGGTTAACAGGTGCAGAGTGAGCTGAGAGGCCAGTTTTTTCCCTCTCTAAAGGACATCATTGGGAGGAGTTTGGTACGCCCCCTCTAGCCCTCCAGTCAGAGGGGAGAGGAGGCTGAGGAAGACAGTGTCCAATGGGTTGGTGATGAATTAGCAGCGGGTGGTGAGATTAGAGAGGATGAGTTTAACCTGGGAGAGTTTTCTTGTTCCTTGAATGGGAACTAGTCAAGGCTACAGGTACAGAGGGGTGACTAATGAAAGAGTGCAGGTGGAGACCAGGGCAAGTATGGGGGCCATTAGGGTCTGGCCAGAAGAAGAGTCATTTTGAGCCTGGGCTCTGTTGCCTTGCCGTGTATGGCGTTCTTGATGCAGCGTGGCTTGATGGAATGGTCGTTGGGCCTGGATTCCAATTCCAGCTTTGCTGCGCTCTTCCCATCTGGCGCTCGGCTTCCTCAGGAGAGGGTGGCAGCTCATGCTCTCTAATGGTCTTCCTTCTCTGCTCCCTCAAGGCTTCCCCATCTGATCCCTGCCCATGCATTCTTCCTTTATGATTGCATCATTTCCTTCCATTAACCCAGTTCAGGCTCTTATTATCTTGGCACGAATTGTTGCAAGAGCCGCTGGACTGGTTTTCTTGCTTTTAGCCTTCATGTACCTTGGGCCATTCTACAGTTATATTTATTAAACTTTTATGCCAGCATTTATAATCTCCTATTATGTGCCAAACATCTGCTTAATCTTCTTAAAAAGTAATTAATGCCTCATTGCCAAAGGATAAAGTCTAGACTGTCCTCTGAACACATTTTCCCTCCTTCAGGCCCAGTATCTGCCTCAACCTGTGAGGTAGGTACTATTATCTCCATTTCACAGATGATGAGCTGAGGCTGAGAGGTTAAATCCCCTTGCCCAGATTTTATGTTGTTTTCTTATTCTCATGCATCCTCCTGACCCAATGCTTTTCTCTCAACCATTTAAAAATCCTAACACTCCCAAAGTCCTGGTTCTCTTCCTGCTTCTTCCATGAAGCTTCCCTAACTGTAACTTAGCCCAAAGTGATCTCTCCCTCTCCTGAATGCTTATTGTCTGTACTACTAATATTTGGCAGTATAATATATTGCTTTGTGTACTTGTTTAATTAAAAAAGGAATTAGATTGTATATGTCTTTCCTTTTCACACAGAAGTTCCTTGTGGTCAAGGACAGTGCCCTGTGGGCATGTTCCATGGCTTCTAGGAGAGCGTTCATCGAGACCTGTTTTTCTCATATCTTTGGCTGTGTGAAAATGAATAAGCACCGCCAGGTTTTCATGCTTGTTTGCACCTAGAATGTACAAAATCCGCAGAAGGAGCAAACTGTTGATAGGAAAAATTCTAAAGACACTGGCCTCCATGCAGTTCAGCCTTTCACATAGTTACCTTTCCCTACATTTCATCACTTTGTTGTATCAAAGATGGGGAACAGTAGTTGGTCTGTAAAACTTGTGGGGATTTTCCTGGGCTATAAGTTGGGTCAGTTCTCTAATATGGCAGCCAGGAAAGTTAATGGGCCCTTAGGAGAGGCTTACTTTCAGGAAAAAAGGAGAGGGTAGTCCTGGGGTTCTTTGCCCTAGTCAGACTCCTCCCACAGTGTTGTTTGTGTTCACTTGTGGGGGCCTCATTTTACAAAGGACATGGATAAAGCTGGCTTGAGCCTCCAGACCAGGTTATCCAAGATGGTTAAAAAGCCCAAAGTTCCTTTGACAGGAGGACCCGTGGAAGGAATTGGCATATTTAGCTTGGAGAACAGAGATTTGGAGGGAGGTCCTCAAGTATCTGAAAGGCTGAGAAGGCATGAGAAGGCTTTAGGAGAGGGATTAGACTTGTTGCAGAGTTAGGAGCACAGGGACAAATTGGGTCTTGGTCTAAAAAATAGCTGTCACCCATTGGAATTGGTGAATTTCCCCCTCATTGGACATATTCGTGCAAAAGCTAGTACTTTGCAGGTAGTATTAATAATAATAATAATAATAATAATAATAATAATAATAATAACCACAGTGATACTAATAACTAAAATTTGTTACACTTGAAGATTTGCAACATGCTTTATGTATATTAACTCATTTAATCCTTTCATCAGGCCTTGGAGGTAGGACCTATTAGGACCCCATTTTACAGTGGTTTGGCCAGGATCACACAGATAGTGTCTTAGGTAGGATTTGAATTCATGTCTTCCTGACTATCACTTTTTTCCACTGTTTGAGCCATCTTCCTTTGTATGTTTGAGGGGAATTCTTGTTCAGATATGCATGGTACAGAGTATCTACTAAAACTGAAGTACTGTGATCCTGATCTTTGGACCAGAGGTCAGGAAGACCTCGGTTTGAATCCGGCCTCAGACACTTCCTAGCTTTGTTACCATGCACAGGTGACAACCTCTCTGAGCCTCAGTTTTCTCATCTGTAAAATGGGCATAATAGTACCTGTAGTACTTACCTTATAGGGGATGAGACAACATATAGAAAGTACTTTGCAATCCTTAAAGCCCCATATGAATGTTAGTTTTGATGGTGATACAGTTTTGGTGCTCCCCTGGTGCAAGTTGAAACTACTTTTTACTTTTTATGATTTTTGTCCATGCTTTCCTGTAAATCCTTCTTGGGGTACTCATTCAGCATGCAGAGTCTTCCTCCAGTCTTTTAACGTCTGGGGGCTACCATTGTAGCAGTTGGGCTGTTCATTGCTGTCTTCCATTGTCCCAATGTGATTGGCTTCCTTCCTTTTGGGGGCATATCTGTCTTTACTGATGTGTTTTATAGTACTTCTCATTAGGAAGTCCTAGTTGGTAATGTACTGCACTTTACACACACCGTGTATATTCCCAGTGGCCTTTGGGTCACCTCCAATTTTAATTCTTTTTGCTCTGGTCTTTCATGATTCATGGCCATGCAGCATCACCAGAAAATTCTTGGTGCCTATGACGTGGCCTTTGGTAGAAGCTGGTGGTGTGGCATCCCTGACAGCACTGTGGAGGTTCATCCATGCCCATTTTCATCCTTGTCGTCATCTCTGTACTTGCTCATTGTCCATCTGTAGCACTATCTGAGGCAGATAGACTTGTTCAGTGAGCCAGCCATCCAGTTGCGTGTCATCATGTGGGCAATGTCGTTTGTCATCATTTCTTTTTCCATGTGGATGCTTAACGTAATGTCTTTTAACTATTTGTGGATTTCCCTAAGGAGGCTTAAAAAATTTGTATTAAAACTGAAACTTCCCAAACAACTAAATTTTAATGTTTATCTATGTCTGACCTCTGAAAACTGCCTAATAGGGAAAGGGATTTTTATTCCTTTGCATTCCTTGCATTTGTGGCATTATTGTATGTAAGACTGATGTTAGGGAAAAAAATTTCAATAAATAGACAGTTAAGCCTCTGTTGGAATCCAAGGAGAAGCATTATTCTTTTTTGTAGTAGTTGTGTTTTATAGTTTGATAGGTATTAGGGATATGTCAGAATCATATAAACAACTTTTCTTTAGCTCTGACTTTCTTTTAACCCAGTGACCAGAGGTGAGGTGGGATCTAATGAACCTTTGGGAATGGGAGCTTACAGTCCTGTGATCAATAAATAACCTGTTTCTTATGTTTTCCCTTGTGATTTCTAGATGGTGACATGCAGTGCTATGCAAACATCCTGGTCACTGAGCTGTTTGATACAGAGCTGATAGGGGAGGGTGCCTTACCCTCCTATGAGCATGCCCATAAGAATCTTGTAGAGGTAGGAAGAAGTATGAAGTTTGCAATTTTTTTTTTAATTAGGCAATTGGGGTTAAGTGACTTGTCCAGGGTCACATAGCTAGTAAGTGTCAAGTGTTTGGTCTGAGGCTGAATTTGAACTCAGGTCCTCCTGCCTTCAGGGCCAGTGCTCTATGTACTATGCCACCCAGCTGCCTGCTGAAGTTTGCAATTTAAAGCTCATCTGTATAGATGGAAACATTAACTCAAGGATTTTAGTGTAACCATGCAGGGTCATTCAAAATGTTGCTTTTTAGCCATCTCATGGATTGCTCCCTACTGTGTTGGTAATATTTGGGAATTCTAACTCCTTTCTGTCTTGCTGTCATGGAAATTTTGGTAGGGCATAGCCAGGTGGTGGAGTCTAAAGAATTCTCTTGTCCCCCTTGATTGATGTATTGCTTCTCCTTTCTTGGGAGTGAAGAAAGACTTTGTGTAGAAGACAGTACTTGAGCTGCATCTTGAAGAGGTGAGAGATTCTTTGATGTGGAGTTGAGGAGATAATTCATTCCAGGCGTGGGGGACAGCTCTTATAAAGTCACGGGGTGGTCTGCTGCATGGGACGGACATAGTATTGTCCAGTTTGATAGGACTGTGGAGGGCCTGAAGGAGAAGAGTCAGACAGAGTGAGACTCCAAGCTTAGGTTGGGGCCAAGTTGTAAAGGGCTTTAAAAATCCATTGGAGAAGTTTATATTTAATCCTAGATTAATGGGGAGCCAGTGACATTTAGTAAGTTAGCCGTTCTTAGGAAAATCACTTTGGCTATGTGGAGGATGAATTGGAGAGGGACTTGTGGTAGGAAGGCCAATTAGGGGCCATTGCAATAGCCTAGACAGGAGCTGATGGAGACCAGGACTAAGGTCGTGGCTGTGTGAGTAAAGAGAACAGGTAGATGCAAGAGGTGTGAGTTGGAGATGAGAAATGGAAAAATCTAGCAGCTGATTAGATGTGTGAGCTGAGGAAAGGTGGGCTTAGAGCAATGCTAGTTTGTAGACCTGGGGAACAGGAGCAATGGCGGTACGGAAGACATTCAGTGTTTAACATATCCATAAGTCATTTAGTGATATGGGACTAGAACTCGGGGGGGAAAGCCATGGATCTTGGAGTTGTCTACGTAGAGATGATCATTAAAATTGAAATCTGATGAGATCACTGAGCGACAGAGAGAGAATAGAGAAGACAAGAAGCCCCAGGACAGAGCTTTGGGACAGGGCGCGGACGATCAGACAGCAAAAGAGACTGAGAAGGAGCCATCAGATCCGAGAGCAAGAGAACCAGAAGAGAGTATCATTATGAAAACCAGGGAGTGGAGAGTTGCCAAGAGGAGAGTGTGGTCAGCTGTATCCTGCCATACAGAGTTCAAGGAGGATGAGTGAGAAGAGATCATTAGATATGACCATTAAGGGATCCTTTGTAGGTATGAAGAGAGCAGTTTCAGAGAAGTGATGAGGTCAGAAGCTGGACTGCATGGGATCAGTGAATAAATGAATGAGTGGAAATGGAGCAGAGGCAGTGAATACAGATAGCTTTTATAAGATGCTGATTTCCGGGGGGATTGTGGGTCCAGTAAAAGTTTTCTCCTGATGAGTTAGACTTGGACATGTTTGAAGGCATTTGGAAAGGAACGTGGCGATGAGAAGAGACTGAAGGTCATAGAAAGAGGGGATGATTGTGGTTCTGTCTGCTGGGGAAGATGAAAAGGATCTGAGAATGGAGGGAGGGAAGTGTGGGGGATGATGTCAAGGTGTTTTGAAATGAAGAGGCAGCTTAATGGCCTCGCTTTTCTCAGTAAAGTAATAGGTAAGGTCCTCAGTGGAGAGGCAAATTATATAAGGGATGAGCATTGTAAAAACTTGAAAAGCACTGCTTTAAATATTTTCCTTTCAAAATACCAAGTAAGCTTTGCTCCATGCTCTGTTTTGCCAGAGGTAGAGCTTAGCAGCTGTGGCTTAGGGGTTTGTCTTTAGTATTCAGGATAGGCCTGTGACAGAGTGAGTGCAGGAGTTAATCTGCAAGACCACAGTTAACAGCTTGTTTTTAAAGGTATTTAAGAAGGGAACATCACCATGAAGTGCCTCTTCTTGTAGGACACGTCATAAATGCCCTTTCTTTGATTCAGGTTGCCTAGATCAGATTACAAGGTAGTAGAAGTTACCACATATGTTTAATATTTGAAAATAGTTGGCTTTTGCCTGCATGGAAGTAATAAGTATAAAAGTGACTGACTTCATTGCTTTTCTCTTTTTTATGAACCTTTAGGAAAACTGTGAGGCAGTGCCCCACAAGGCAACTGTATATGCCCAGCTAGTGGAGTCCAGAAGAATGTGGTCCTGGAATAAGTTATTTCCTGTTCATATCCAGACAGACAATGCTGAGAAAATTATTGTTGCTCCCTCAGAAATGGAGAATTGCCCTGGGGCTCCATCAGTCTATGATATTCAGCTGAACCAGATGCCACGGGGTGACTTCACCATCCTCAGTAATGTACTGACGATGTTTAGGTAAGAAAGGAAAAAAACAAACCAACCAACAATCCAATCCTTTTGTTACAATGTGATGTCCAGAAAGCAGAAAGCTAGAAGGTAAAGACACATAATGGAATTGGGGGCTTGAAAGGGAAAGCAGCACACTGCCTTTGAGGTGGAGAGATGCTTGTTGATTGGTCATGGAGTCCAATTTAATTTTTGGGAGGCATAGCATATCTTCTTAAAAATGTTTTATTGACATTCTTTGTTGTTTTTTTTAAACATCACTATCTCTTTCCCCTAGCTCATAGAACCCTCCCTTGTAATGGGTAGATATGGTCAACAAAACAATTGAACGTTTTGGCCATGTCTGAAATGTATATCTCGTTCTGTACCTTTAGCTTACCTCATTTTACTGAGAGGTAAGACGTGTTTCATTCTCAGGTTCTTTGAACTTACTTTTGATTACTTCATTGATTAGAGTTCTGAAGTCTTCAGGCTGTCCTTTATATTGTTGTGGTCACTGTGTAAGTTGTTCTCTGAGTTCCTATTACTTCCCCCTGTATCAGTTCACCTAAATCTCAACAAGTGTCTGAATTCTTCATATTCATCGTTTATTATGGTGCAGTAATATTCCTCTGCATTTACATACCACAGTTTATCTAGCTGTTCCCCAACTAATGGCCATCCACTTTGCTTCCTGTTATTTGTTATTAAAAAAAGTGCGGCCCATTTTTTTTCACTATATTATAGACTTTTCCTCATATCTGTGACCTTCATAGGGTATATATTCTAACGGATCTGTGATCTCACTGATTTGGAACTTTCCTTCCATGGTGTAAATTGCTACCTGCCATGTCCACTCATCCTTTGTGCCCTGTTGTCCGCATCCTCTTTGTAGTGAGGGGGAGGGAGAGGTCCGCTCACCACGTGGTTTCTTCCGTGCTTCCTCCTAGCCAGTGGATCAGTGGAGCACTCTGGCTGTCCAACTGCTGTCCCTTACGCAGATGTTAAAGCTTGTGATGTAGGCTCAAACTGGCATTGGTCATATATACTTTTATGAGTAACAGTCGTTACAAGTATTAGGTGGTATTTTAATAACTGTTGAATTCATGGTTTTTGAGCTATTATTATAGTTTTAATGACTTTTAAAAATATAATTACAAATCACTTCCCAGAATAGTTAGATCAATTCACAATTCCATCAGTAGTGTATTTATCTTCCCATAGCCCCTCAAACATTTATCATTTTTTCTGTTTCATCATCCTTGTCAGTTTGTTGGGTGAGGCAAAACCTCGGAGTAGTAATTTGCATCTTTTGTAATTAGTAATTCTTTCATATAGATACTAACGGCTTGCATTTCCTTTTTTGATTACTTCCTGTTCTATCATTTGACTACTTATCCATTGGGGGAAGGACTCTTGTTTTTTATGGGGTGTGTGTGTGTGTGTGTGTGTAATATACATATACATTGATTTATCAAGATCTTTAGTTTTTACAATGTCTAGATTTCCCCCTATATCATGTCATATATTCTTAAAATGTGAAGACCCATGACATTAAAAACTTCTTAAGTTTCTTGAATATTTTCTTACAGTGTGGACTTCAGCAGGCAAGTGAATAGCTCACCAACCTATCACACAATGCAGTTTGAACCTCTCGTGTCTGGCAGAGCCCAGGTGGTTCTGTCATGGTGGGATATTGATATGGATCCTGATGGGAAAATAAAGTGCAGTATGGCACCTTACTGGGTGCATTCTGACCCTAAAAATATCCAGGTAAGAGACATATTTGAAATTTTTTTCATTGTTAAACAAAAAACAAGTATAGTAGTATATTGAATGTTGGAATCACAGTGTTGGAAGAAACGGTAGCAGTGATCATGGGGAAATAGAAAGGGACTTGTCCATGGTCACACTTCAGGTAAGTGGCAGAGCAGGGAAGGGAAAACATACATTTATTAAGCTTCTGTTATGTTCTAGGCACTGTGCTAAATTCCCTGCAGTAATATTTGTTACGTTTATGTATCACAGTTTATTTAGCCATTCCCCAGTCAGTGGGCTTCCACTTGTTTCTAGTTCTTTGCTAACATAAAAATGCTGCAATAAATATTTTGGTGTATATGAAGCCTTTTTTCTTATCAGTGACCCATTAGACTATGAGCTCCCTGAGAACAAGGACTGTTACTTTTTTTTGGTCTTTGTTTGTGTCCCTAGTGCTTAGCAGTAGAGGGCCTGGCACTTGGCCGGTGCTTAATAAATGCTTTGTTGACTAGACCTCCTTGGGGTTTATGCCTAGGATCTTTGGGTCAAGAGGGGTGGACGTGTTATGCCAGTTTCTTTGGATAATTTCACATTGTTTTCCAGAGTGGTTGTACTAACTCACAGCTGCACTCAGTGCATTAGGATGCCTGTGTTTTCACAGCCTCTTTAGTGTTGGCTGTTGCTGTCTTTTGTCAGCTTTGTCAGTTTGCTGTGCAGTGAGGTGAAACCTCAGGCTTCTGTTTTCTTTTGTGCAACATGAGGGGGTTGGAGTAGATGACCCCAAAGTCTTGCTAGCTCTAACATCGTTGAGCTTCTGTTGAGTAGTGGTTTCACGAGCTTCAGCACTGCATTTGTAGGTACTCTGGTATCATCGCTTCTCGTATTATCTTTTCCCAGGTGAGGGGATCTGTTGAACAAATACTTGTTTTCAATGTCTAATGTCAGTCAAAATTTCGGGCCAGATTGATGTGTCTCATTCAGCATATATTGAATAAGCTTAGAGTGTGCTTTACAAGTCAGTGATTGCTTATTGGACATTACACTCGTGCACACACACACACACACACACACACACACACACAACACAAACACACACGCATGTGCCTTCTAACACTTTTCACTAAAAGTGAGAATGCTAAACAGAACTCGTCCTAGTATAAATTTTGCTACCTTTCAATTTTCAGATAACTCACAGTGAAAGTATCCCAGGAATCAATTCTGTGTCCTGGTTTTATTGAACAATGTTGAAAAATAGCATTTAAGGGGAAAAAACCCTGCTTTGTCTCTGCAAAATTACTAATGGGCTGACATATAATTTTTTATTTTTTATTTTTTAGGCAATTGGGGTTAAGTGACTTGACCAGGGTCACACAGCTAGGAAGTGTCAAGTGTTTGGTCGGAAGGCCGGATTTAAACTTAGGTCCTCCTGACCTCAGGGCCGTTACTCTATCCGCTGAGCCACCTTGCTGCCCCTCTGACATATAATTTAAACCTATGGAAGCCTTATAAAATTGTTCTTGGGATCTGTGCTATGGACTTCTTGTAAAATTAAATCTTTCTTGTAGTGAATTGTGTTATTTAATAGGTTCAAGGTTCATATATTTTTTAAGTTAGCAGACCAAGCTTTAGAATTTCCTCCTTATTCTTTAGCTCAATCAAAAAAAAAAAGGATATCTCACGCCATTGTAATATTTTGGAAGGAGGAGGGCTAAGCTGCCTTTTGTAGTAGAGTTCCTGTCAAAGAAACACCCTGTGCTCTTCCGAGAGAATGTGGGTTGATTAGTATTCACAGCCTCCATATAACTAAATCTCCATGACCTTCATTTTGAAAACTTCATTGTGATCCTGAAATAAAATATTGCTATTATAGCTCATTGATGGGAAGTATTGGGGATCAGATGGGTAGAGAAAAGTGGTCTGCAAATCTGGGCAATTTCTAATCATTTTGAATAATTTCTATTCATTACTGATCACTTTTATTATTTCTTACTCCCCATTCTGATTTTCTCTTCTTAAAAATTTTTTTCCCCCTTTTGTTCTATTTTTATGTAAAATCCTTTTAGTGGCGAGATCATTGGATGCAGTGTGTCTATTTTCTGCCAAATGAAGAGCCGGTGGCTCAGGGTGAATCCCTCTATCTGATTGCTCACCGGGATGATTATTGTGTGTGGTACAACCTTCATAAAACCAGGTAATAAGCCCAAAGAGAGAGATGGGCTAAAATGTATCATCATTGAAAATGTAGGAGACTTGTTCCCATTAATATTTTTGCATTTGTTTTGATTTAGTAGTCCTGTTTGATGCCTCATCATGTTGTGCAGGTGACCCTGGCATTCTCTAAGACTGTTTGCTTACAGAGGAGGTAGAAGGGGTTCTGAAGAGACCAAAGATGGGAAAAACAACTCACCTAGTGTATGGGGCCAACAATTTGACTAAGTGCATGTGAAAGAGATCTGATGCAAATATTGGTGTTGAGGGATTGAGTCATCAAGTATCTGAAAGGGGGAAAGATACCGAAGGTGTTGAAAACAATCTTGAACATTATAAATACCAAGACAAGGTGACAAAAAGCACCAGTAGCTCTTGACCTATATGCTTATTTTCCCATTTATATAAAATTTTTTTGTGAGAAGCATCTGCAGATACATTGAGGGCATTCTTGACAAGGGTATTAGTAGGAAACTGACTAGCCTTTCCAAAGGATATTCCACAGTAGATTATTTATTTGCCATTACACAACTGACTGAAAGATTTAAAAAATACAAGGTATTACTGTTTATTATTTGTTGATTACAGAAAACATTTGATTTAGCAGAGCAGAATTCCTCCAATAAGGTGTCTCCCTGTACATGTATCGAAATTATTCAGGTTTGAAACAAAAGTAATAACAGAGATAATCTTCCTCAAAGATCCTCTCTGGTCATTCATATCAAGTGAGATAAACCCACAGGTCTTTACCACTGCCACGGAGAAGGCCCAGTGCAGAGTTCCAGCTGAAGAGGGGTTCCCTGTAGATGTCACGGCTCCCTAGAGGCTCCTGTTTGTGGGCGACACTGTGCTTGTTGTGTTAAGGCCTGGAGCATTGCAGATCCTCCTAAAGGAGTTTCCGTGATCAGAGAGTTTGGCCTAATTAACTACGCAGAGAAAGCCCAGGAGCTGTTCAATAAACATTTGTTGAATTTAAAGTAGGTCGAAAGAAAGAGTGTCGTTTGTTCTATAGAATCACAGAATTTCACAGAAGAGAGCTCGGTAGTCACCAATTCCAAATCATTGTTGGGAAAAAAACCCCAAACCCAGTCATTTCTATAAGATGTGAGGTAGCTATAAGACAAACGGTCACCTAGCCTCTGCTTGAGAACCTCCAGTGAGCGGGAACTTCCCGTCTCCTGAAGCAGCTCGTTTCACTTTGGAAACCTGGTTCTTAGGAATCATCTTCTTAGACCAAAATCGAATTTATCTCTTAGTAGCTTTCAGGCATTGCTCATTTTGCTTTTTAGAACAAGCAAAATAACTTTACTCCCTCTTTCATGTTACTGTCCTCCAAATCCTTGAAGATAATCTCTTATCATTTCCCACTTAATTCTTCTTTTCCCCAGAATAAACGCCCCCAGCTCCTTGGTTTGACCCTCGTGTAGCATGAACTGAAGGCAGTCCACTATCCTGGTTTCTCCTCTCTTTTGGACTCTTTTCCAGTCTTACCTAGAATGTGGTACCAGGGCTCCATATAGCACTCAGGACATAAGCTGATGAAGACAGAGTATGAGAGGCCTCTCACCAGGATGTTTTGTTTCACTTGATGAAGAGAAATTGATCATTATGTTTTCTCTGGATCCACTTTGTTCTCTAAAGGAAAGTTCTCCTTTTCCTCACTGAAGTTATTTCTCTTTATGTCTTGAGGATTTAAATCTCGAGAGCTTTCTGGCCATCCCCATCAGGAGAGATAGAAGAAACCCTGATTAAAATAATTTCATATAGAAGTATAACTGATATAAACCAATTGCTGTCCTTCCTCTGAAGATTTTTGAAATAGCCTTTCCTGAATATGACTTGCATTTCAGTTTACTTCCTCTTTCTTCTGCTTTTCTGTTACAAATTCTAAGATAGAACGGTCCCTTTGCCCTGAGACACTCATCATAGGATCATTGATTAGATGTGGAATGGACCATTGAGGTTAATGAGTTCATCCTCCTCATTTTACAGATGAGGAAACTGAGGCCCATGGAAGTTCAATGACTTGTCAGGAGTCACAGAAGCAGCAAATGTCTGAGGCAGAATTTGAACCCAGGTCTTCCTGATTCCAAGTCCAGCACACTCTCCATTACGTTTTATTTCCTCTCCCTGACAGCTAGTTAGTTCTTTCATATTGGTGAGAATTGGATCCAAAATAGCTTTTTCCCTTTTGATGAATGAAATGGTCATTAAGGGAAGTTAGGAAATGGTTGGCTGTGTTACTGTTGTCAGAGATTACCAGCAGATGTCCAGATAATTTCCTTTTACTAGTACATCTTGACTTTGTTCTCAGCTTGTGAACACTCCCATTTTCTTTCTCTTTTTAGCCTGGTGGTATATGACAGTGACCATATTGTTTTTGTCTTTGCTTTAATTGATTTTTGCACAAATTCTTCTACTTGAATTTCCTCACAAGTATATCTTAAAATGCAGTTGCTTATCTTTCCCCTCTTATCTAACTTCTTCCATTTGAACAAAGTATTTCTTTCCAGAGACATATTCTAGTCATAGGTCTTATCTCACCAAGGTCAAAGTTGTTTCCTCTTATGAGAATCTCTACTCCATTTTCCTTGTTACATTTGTCTATAGAGAATTTGAGACCACAGATTTTATTTCTGGCTTCTTTTGTGAACTTTTGGGTGGCTTTCCTGCAGTTATTTTCTCCACCTTGTTCTCTGGCAGCCTTTTTAAAAATGTAATCTGGGGACCCCTCAGAGTTCCCAAGACCCTTTCAAAGAGTCCTCAAGGTGGAAATTATTTTCATAATAATATTAATGTTTAATTCCTAATACAATACATATTGATAGATATAACCCACATAAACAAAAGTTCTTGGGGTTCTCAATAATTTAAAAAGTGTTAAAGGGTTTTGAGACAAAAAGTTTGTGAACCTTGCTCTGTGGTTTTCAGCTTGTTGTATATAGAGACTTTTCTCTCTTCCCCTTCCTTTTCAGTTTGAAAGCACTTTAGATTTGCCGGGGCTCTTAGGAAAACATTTTTACTAGGTCTTGTTAGGTGCTCAGAAGCCTATCATTCCTATATTTTAAGCTATGGCCTACAATCTAAATACTATACTGAGACACCATCTTCTTAACTACTTGTTCACTTCCCACTCTTGATTTTCTTTTTGAATCCCTTGTCTTCAATAAGTACCATTTGTGCCCCCAAAGTCTGTATAAAATCTTGTGCAAGACTCCATGATCAATAGTAATGATTTCTAGTTTCCTTCAAACAGTATCATCTGTGCCTATGTGAATCAGCAGAAGTTTATAATAGTCATTTTGACAAGGCTTGGGATATTTCTGTCATGTCTTAGATACATGTTCTGGGAAGACACCAGATGACGAAGACAACAACAGCATCTCTGTTGTTGTTATTAGGCTGACAAATAGATATCACTAGTTCTCCTTAACTGGGAATTCCAACCACGTCTCCTCTTGATGTTTGCTGGGAATAATCTCCTATCTGACCACACATGTGAGCCTGCTTGATGAGCTTTAGGGGGAGAGCAGTGGCTTTCTAAGCAGCAAAGAGCTCAGATTTGTTTCTTAATCTTCCCCCCCCCATAAATCTTTCTTCCTTCCAACTTGTATCTTTCCACCTTCCAGTTCTTGACCCAGGTAAAGATTCCTTTTTCACTCTTCAGATTCTTTTTCCTTTTAATTTTTTTTACAGTGAAGCTCTTCTGGCTTTTTAAAGAACCCCTAGTTGTCATTGGTAATCTGGAAATTGGAGCTTTGTTCTTCAGGTTTCCTTTACCTTTTCTTACAGGAGGGGGAACAGCCTGTACTTAGGGCATAGAAAGACCCAGAACCAAAGCAGAGATCCAGAGCTGGGCGTGCAATGCAGTAAATGGCAAACTTTGCCATGCTCCCCATACTTATATGGAGTGAGATTCTCAGGCCCTACCCTTTTCCCGACCAGGTGGCATTTTGTGAATGATTCCAATCTCAGAAAAGTGACTTTTTACTCTTATTACCCCATTAGCCCCTTGACAGCCTCTTTAGTATTTCTTGATATCTTGTCAGTCACCTTACCTTTTAGTTCATGGTGTGCCTTAGGATTGAAAAAAGCAAGAGTAACTTCCACGGAGAGCGTCCAGTCTGTGAATGTCAAGCCCATTTGCTCTGGAACCGGCCACGATTTGGAGAACTGAATGATCAAAACAGAACAGAACAATACATGCAAGCGTTGAAGAAGGTAGGTCTCTGGGCCCTCCGCCCTATTATGACAAGAGTTCTTTTCCTTTCCCTGAGTGTTTTCTGTCTAGAATTCACTGACTTGGTTTTGCTTGCTCAACCTGCCGTAAACTTGGATGTTGGACTAGGTTGTCTTGTGGACCCCCTCCAGCTCTAAGCTGGACCCTGTTAACTTGCAAATCTGTCTTCCCTAAGGCAGACTGCACAAGCAGAAAATGAGTAGATCTTGGCTCTCTGAGGGCCTTTTCCATTCAAGGAAACATGGTGATAAGGTGCACGTTCGCCTGAATCATCGCCCTCACCAGACTACTGTAATTATTTGGTAATATGTTGCTAATGCATTTTTGCTTGGTGTCATTAAGGAAGACTGGATTTGTCTACAGAGTAAAGTTGCTGAGGGCCGTCTGCAGTGATACCCTGGGTCAGGCTCCCAAAGAAGCCTGCTCAGGAGTCCCTTTTGGTAGCAGCACCAAGGGATGTGATCAGAACGATTCTCTTCCATGATGTCAGTCAACTTCAGAAGCTTAGGGATGTCCCCAAAGCATCTTGTGCTTCTCTTAATTTCATCTGTGAATCTGCCTAAGGCCTTTGGAACTGGGTTATGCTATTAGCTTGTGCCATTTCCATTCTAATTGACTGGGTTTGTCTGAAGTAACAATAGAATTAATCTCATACTAGAATTAGAAGCTGATTTCCCTTTGAAAAATCTCTTTGCAATCTAGAACTTCTGTATACACACATGCACTATGTAAAGGAATCCTTTTGAAGCATAGAATGAATGATTTAGAGTTAGATGTTATGATGATAAGGCTTGAGATGTTAGATTATGAGATTTTGGAGACTGACTCCGTTCCTTTCTGGGGTGTTGTAAAGGAAGGCCCGCAGTACATTTCATATAAACGGGTGACAGGTTTGTTTTTCCATTCACAAGTCAACAAGTATTTTACATGCTTTCTGCGTACCCAATGTGCTAGGTATTGTAGGCATAGGAGAGGCAGGTAAGAAGGGGGAGAAGACTCCGTTCTTGTGGTCAGGGAGCTCAGAGTTTAGCTGGGGAAACAAGATGTAAACAATGAGAACAGCTAGAGAAAAGTGTAAGGTAAATTATAGTTAACCAAGATTGTCTGGCATAGATACTCTGTGCTATAAGAATTACTAGAAGGGAAAACATCGTTACTGACGAGGAAATCAAGGAAGGCTTCGTGGAGAAGGCAGTGCTTGAGAGAAGTGAAGGGGTTGAACTGACAGAGAGGAATAGGAAGGGCCCCCAGCCTGTGGGTATAAGGTCACCACAAAAGTTGGTTGGAAGGGGCAGCTAGATGGCGCAGTAGATAGAGCACTGGCCCTGGATTCAGGAGGACCTGAGTTCAAATGCGGCCTCAGACACATGATACTTACTTAGCTGTGTGACCTTGGGTAAGTCACTTAACCCCATTGCCTAGCCAAAAAAAAAAAAGTTGGTTGGAATGAGTATGATGTGTTTAGAGGATGGTTTGTATTGGGGAGTCTTGAGATATAAGGTAGGTTGAGTGGTGAACTGTGCAGTTCCCCAGGGATGGCTTTGCAGATAAAATTATTTGTAACTAGTAGTATTATGCATTTTTTAAAAGTGCTAAATACCTTAAAACCCCTCCCCTGAACAGGTTAAACCCACTTCTTCAGTCTTGTTTACAGACTTTGTTTGCTTATCAGTCTGTTTTTGTCATAATTTCTATAGATGTTAAACTTATTTCTGACCACATTTAATTATTGTCGATTCTGAAATAAGGCAGATTAATGAGTTTCTTCTGTATTTAAACTGGAAAGGATTTCTTGACAAATGATAGCTGAAAACCTTTTGATCTGTAACAAAAGCAGATGCTGACAGTAGTTTTCTTCTCTTAGGTATTGAAAGCAGACAGTATTTGTCTCTGCATCAGTGATGGCAGCCTCCTTCCAATACTGGCTCACTGTGTGGGGGCAGAACAGGTAACAGCACATTGCTACATTCTTCTTAGATCAGTTTTTGAAGTTAACTACTGCTAGCACTTTTACCTCATTTCTGTTTATAGTTTATAGCTTTACTTTCACCCACATGCTGAACAGTTTTGGTGTGTTGTTCACATCGTTGATGCCTTCAAGGGGGGTAGGACTTGCCCTCCTTCACTGCAGTGTGGTGGGAGGGAAGTGCTTCATGAAGGGTGAGCAGGTGTTCTGGGAGGCAATGCTGATGGAGTGCAGTCTTCCCTAGAGGGAGGACTTTGAGCAACAGCGGCTGGAGAGCACCAAGAAGCCTGTCTCACCGGAGGCCTGGCCGGCAGGTGACAACTGGGTGTGGGCCACAGCAACGTAGGGAAATGTCTTCTAAGGCATGGAAAGGTTGCAATTTGTGTGGCACAGGAAGTGCTCATACCACTTGAATTATCTTTTAAAAGATCTTTTACGATGTTATTATTTGTTTGGCCAGATACTCTATTCATGCCTTTTAGATGCGCATGTTAGAAACTTAAGGGCTTTGGCTAGCTCATGGGTATAGCCCAGCAGAGTCATCATTAGAATTCAGAACTTGAGGCTTTGAGACTTTCAAGGCATATTGTCCAGACCAGCATCATGGTTTGTGTGCCTGGATAACGTGGGCAGTTTTTGGAATAGACAAGTATCTGTCATACAGATAGTATTTCCTAATCTCTCATTTTAGGATGCACTTATGAAGTGTTGGTATTTATAACTTTCTAATGGTATTAAGAATTCAAGCCAGTTGTGACTAATTGCGCATGATTCCCTTTAGGTATTCACAATAGAGAACTCGGCAGTGTCATATCGACTGATGAAAAAAGTGAGTGGATCAGTATTCAGGGGACATGATGGATTTGGTTAGAATGGTGATATGGAGGATTAAACATCTGGCATTGAACTGTTGTTTTTGATTCTATCCCTCTGAAATTTAGAACAAAATGGAGAAACAGGTGACCTGTAGATTATCCTGTTTTCTGCTTGAGTATAAAACTAACATATGGTCCTATATTTTAATTTGTTTTTGGTGAAAAACCTGAGGTTACCTGTTCATACTAAGACTTGTTTCCTTCATTTCACAGAATAGTACTACAAGAGGAGGTAGAACCTTTGCAGTAATAATTCTGTAGTATTTGTCTGAGGAATAGTCCCACTTGGGGAATTAAGTTTATCACATCCATGTCCTGATGAATTTTGCCTTTGTCCTTATCCTGTGGGTGTGGGGGAAGGTATGAAATGTGTCAGGAGATGAGATGGGCAAATTTGAAATTCTTCTCAGAAAGTTGTATTGTCATAAAGAAACTGGATTTGCTTAAGTGCTTACAAGAGCCATTTGTTTTTGAATCATGCTGATTCTTTGGCAGTCTTGTCCTTGACACATCATGATGCTTTTATGCTGAATACACATAAAAGAGAAATTAGTGTTTGGGAAGCAAAGACTGCATTGGGCAGGCCTGTAGATTGAAGTTGTTAAAAAAAACCCCTCAATTCATTTTTTTCTCTTAAAGATTTTTAAGGCTAATCACCTAGAGGATAAAATTAGTATAATAGAGAAGCGTCCTGAATTACTCACCTCTGCAGATTTGGGTGATAGAAAGGTGAGTAATAGTTGCTGTATGTTTGCATTAGTGACCCATAACCTGCTGAAGGCAGTACTCCAAGCCACACCTTTTTGTTTTGACATTTCACTTAAGTGAGGTTTATTTAAGTTACCTAATCTAATTTATTGTATTTCTTTACAAGAGAAGAGAGACTGTAATATGGATGCTATGCTTATGCAAGACTGTTCTAATGAAAAAGTTCCAGTATTGACCAGTCTCATTGCAAATTTCCAAGTGTAACTTTTGTTTGCCCGCCTCTTGTCTTCTGGTAATAGATCTGGCTGTGTTACTTATCCCACTAATACTCTAAAGATTTTTAGCTTAATGTATTAACATTTGTAAGGATGCTAAATTGATAAATAATAGAAACCATCATAACATCAGTTTTTTGCCTTCAGATTATAGAAACGACTCAGAATTTATCATATCTATCGGTCATGTCTATTTCCCTAAAATTGGAAAGTCGTCTTTCCTCCCTGCATGCTTAGGATTTGTGGCTTACACTTGATGCCGAGTCAGAGCAGGCTGATGGTTTCATCTTCTTTTTCTTGTTGTTCAGATCTCTGTTCTTCTTGGGGAGCCTTTCTTCACAACCAGTCTGTTGCCATGGCACAGTCTGTACTTCTGGTATGCAAGGACAGCTGTGACCGAACATCTCGCTGACAGCATCATAGTATTGCCACAAGCTGCCTCCTTGCACATGGTGGTTGTGGAGTTCAAGGTAAACTGCATGGAACAATTTTATTTTGGATAGTTTGGGTTAAGCTGGGGCATGTGAAATTATACATATTGCAGGGTTCTGTATAATAGAATCTTGTTTTTAAGAGCCATTTTCCTTTTGTCACTTTTGTCACTGTGATGTGCATGAGGTAGAACTTGAGTTGTCTTACTTTGCATTTCTCTAATTATTAGTGATTTAGACCTTTTTTAAATGATTGTTGATGGCTTGGATTTCTTCCTCTGAAAACTTCCTCTGCATATCCTTTGACCATTTATCAGTTGGCTCTTATTTTTTAAAGTTTGGCTTGGTTCCCCATCTATTTGAGAAATAAGATCTTTATCAGAGACACTTGCTGTAACATTTTTCCCTCAGTTTCCTGCTTTCCTTTTAATTTTGGCTGCATTGGTTTTGTTTGTTCAACCCCTTTTAAATTTAATATAATAAACATTATTCATTTTACCTCTTGTGATCCTCTCTGTCTCTTGTCTGGTCATGAACTCTTCCCTTATCCTGATATAACATGGAATTTTTTTCCATGTTTTCCTTATTTTCTTATGATGTCACCCTTTATGTCCATATCATGCACTTATTTTGAGATTATCTCAGCATATGTATTTGGTGTGAGATGTTGGTCTATACCTAGTTTCTGCCATACTACTTTCCAGTTTCCCAGCGGTGAATGAGTGAGTTCTTGCCCCAGTGGCTTGAATCTGGGTTTATCAGTCCTTAGGTTACTATGCTCATTTACATCTGTGTATTGTGTGCTAATCTGTCCCCCTGATCTACCGCTCTGTTTCTCATCTAGTACCAGATTACCTGGGTGATCACAACTTTGTGGCATCGTTCCAGATCTGGGACTGCTAGTCCCTCTTCCTCCCTGTGTTTTTTTTCATTGATTCCCTTGATATTCTTGATTTTTTTCTTCTCCAGATGAATTTTATTTTATTTTTTTTAAACTATAAAATAATTTTTGGTACTTTGATTGGTATGGCACTAAATAAGTAAATTAATTTAGGTAGTGTTTTCATTTTTATTGCATTGACTGACTAGGTCTACCCATGAGTAATTAATGGTTCTCCAGTTGTTTAGATTTGTCTTATCTGCTGTTTTAATGAACTTTTTAGGTATTGTACGTTTTGGCAGAGTCAGTTGTGGGCCTACTTGTGGATATGTGATTTTCCCCTTTTTCTCTTTTGGTTTCCTAGTGAAATTACAGACCTGTTTCTAATCAGCTTGGTATAGGACGTGAATGTTTGTTTTGTTGTTCCCAGGACCTGTGGCGGATCCGAAGCCCGTGTGGTACCTGTGAAGGCTTTGACGTTCACATTATGGATGATATGATTAAGGTGGGCACAGTCTGCCGTCTTTAAGTGGTGCTGGAGTAGTCCTGCACTGGTAGTGTCAGCGGAGCTACCCTCCACAGACGGGTATTGAGATGATGTCATGGCTCTGTAGACAGGCACTCTTCCTTTGATCTCCCAGCCCTGGAGGGCAGGTTGGGGTGGGGGGTGTGGAGCCAGCTTCCTGCAGCCCTCCTTGGTTGGGGCAGCCCTGGCCCAGCCAGGCTTCTCTCATCCCCTAGCCCATTTGTTACGTTTGGAGGAAGGGGATATGGGAGGTGCAGCCTCTGCTATGACAGGTGGCAGGAAGCAGCTCCTTAGCCAAACAGAAATGACTCTGTTTTAGGTATTTTGAGACAGAGCCTGTCCCCAGGGCACCCTGGGATAACACTGTGATGGTGGGGAGTTAGGGCAGAATTTTCACTGATTTAAAAGTAATCACTGACAGAAGATGAGTATTTCAGGCCTCATGAGCCACCATCCTTCCTCCTAGCCCCTTCCCAAAATAAGCAGAGCCATAAGGTGACTGTAATGCAGCCAAGTTACTGTCAGCTGTCAGGAAGCCCATAGAGAGAGACTGACAGGGTTGCAAGGAGTACTAATCAAGTTTTGGATTGAAGGAGACCTAAGATTGCGCAGAGTTAACCCTTGGAGGATATCCAGCTGATCTGTTTACTCTAAAGCACTATATGAATGAGAGCTGCAATCATCCAGGTTTCTAGCATGAGGCGCAGGTATGTCAAAGTCTGTATGCTGTTGTCCACGTTGTCTGCCAGGGCCAAGTCTTCCTTTGTGTCTCTGCCGGATCCATCTTGCCTCATCCCTTTTCTATGGACCCTGTTATTTCGAGTCATTGTCATACAGAGAACATTGAAATCAGAGTGAGGAGGATCAGGGTTCAAGTTTCAGCTCTGACCCTTACCTTGTGTGAGGCCGGGGGCAAGGAAGTCACTTCACCTATGAGAAAAGAAAGAAGGATGCCAGCATTGCTTTACCTCATACTGGTGGTTGTGCTGAGAATGTCTGAAAACCTTAAAATGCTGTAGAAATTCAAGCAGTTATGGTTAACTATTCTTTTTTCCTTAGCACTCATTGGACTTCAGGGAAGCCCGGGAAGCAGAGCCTCACCCTCTCTGGGAGTACTCAAGCAGATGCTTGTCAGAGCCCCAGCAGGTTCTGACCTTTGACTTCCAAAAGCCTGTCCCTCAGCGGCCACTTAGTGCCAAAGGCTCCGTCACCCTGCAAAGGTGAGCCAGTCCCCAGAACAGATAAGGTGAGGAAGACTGTTATTGCACAGGGCATCCCAAGAGGTGGAGCAGATTCCTGGTGATTCCTCACCGGCTTCATCTCCCTCTGACAGTGCTTACTTCAGCTTCTCCTCTCTCAGTGACCACTGAGGATATGGCTTTCAGTGCAGTAAGTCTTTATAAAGAAAGACAGTCCCTAGCTTGGGCATAAAGCTTAGACTAAGGCCAGACTCAGACACTGATCCTTCTCAGTGCCTCTCTTGTATGATTTTTATTGTAGGCTCCTGTTCCTCAGTCATAGAAGAATCACATTCTTAAAGGGTTTTTATTTTCACTTTCTCCTCTTATACCTGCCCTGTCCCTAATGGGAGTGCCCTAGTTTGTATGAATTTAGTGCAGGAAGAGCCCATTTTGTGTTTGACCCATAATTTCTGATAAAGATTCAGGAACTTTCTTCTCCAGTAACTTGGCCCATTTTCTTACAACTGCAGAAACATTTTGGTTTTGTCTGTGTGATTGTGCTTTTCAATTTAACCATTTCTTCTACTCTCTAGAGATATGGTAAAGCACGGCTGTTTTGGTTAGCAAGCCATCATGGTGAGATAGAGTTGAGCATGTTCAAACCCATCATAAAGAAGAATTGGAAGCCTGGCCTTTCCTTGATAGAATGTCACCATCCTAGGGGTGGTTTGCTGAACTGTTGGCAAAAGGCCTGGTGGCCAGGTTCTGAGGTGTTATTAGGCAGGCACTGTGGTGCTCCTTGTAGTGACCCCCACAGACAGAGTCCCTGGTGGCGTGGAGCGGTGGTCAGTTCAGCACCTGTTGGTCTTACTACCATAAGTGCTGCTGTAAGTATGTTAGAATATTTGGGGACTTTCTTCTTGGTCAGTCAATGGCCTCCTTGGATTATAAGCTCGGTAATGGAGTCTCTGGTTCAAAGGGTATGGATGGTTTAGCAACTTCATTTCAATAATTACTTAATTTGCATAATTATTAGTATGAATCCTTGTCTTAAAGCTATGAAAATGACCCTGAAGAACAGAGAGCCAGTATAATTGAAGACACTGAGTATTTGAGGAAATACCATTTGGTGCTTCATCCTCCCAGACAGCTTACCTCTGGGTACTTTATTTGTGGGTGTTGAGCTAAAGCGAAACCTAAGAAGAGGGAGGCTGTTGCAGGAAGAGGCCGAAATGGGGTAGAGGATGAGGATGTGGTCATGGCAGAGGAGGACAGGGTGCTAGCAGATGTCTTCTTCCACGAGTGCCACCCAAGTCAGAATGTTTTTTTGTACAGGTTTTATTTAGTGTCAGTTTTAAGGAAACACAAAAGTGGGGGGAAATTGCCTTTCCAAATGGTTGTACCATTTCACAGCTCTTCCGGTTGAGTGGCTTTCTGTTATTGAACGTCGGTCTCTCTTGCAGGGCAGGTCACCTTGGTCTGATCTTGAGCTAGCTCCCTTGCTCCTTGGAACTGCTGAATAGTCCTGAATTATTCACATTTCCTATACTTTGTATTTGAAGATTTTCCTCTTGGTCTTGTAGAATTTATTGTTTCCCAATGGAATTGTTAAATGTAACCGCTATGTGCTTTGGAGTTTGCAGCCTTTTTTTTTTTCTGGAGGTGATCTATGGATTTTTTAAAAATTGTACTTTGTTTTCTGTGTTTAGAAGTTCTGGGCGGTTTCTTGTATTACTTTTGCATTGTGGTATTCAAGTTTTATTTGTTGTCTTCTTCTGGGAGATCTGTAGCATAAGTTGTCTTTACTTATCCTGTCTTTAAGATCAGTATGTTTTGCCTGTATGGAAAGTATGCTTTTAAAAAGGAGACCAACAGAAGGCTATTACAGTAGTCTAATTGAGAAGTGATGAACAATGGTGTTAGCAACATGGGGGGAGAGAGACGAAGGCTGATGAGAAAGAGCTGTGGTGGAGGTAGAATTGGCCAGACTTGGCCACTAGCTGGCCATGGCAGTTGTGGGACCCTAAGAAGTCAAGGGTGATTCCTAGAGTATGACCTGGGTCGCTGTAATGAGGTGATGCCTTTAGCAGAAATAAGGAAGTGTGGAGGAGGGGCAGGTTTAGGGGAAAGATAATTAATTTGTTTTTTGACTTACTGAGTTTGAAATGGTAATGAACTACCCAGGAGATATCCATAAAGCATCTGTTGATGTGGGACTAGGTAAAAAGGCCATAGTGTTTTTTAAAAGAAATGCAGTTATACTACAGAATCATAGCATCTCAGAGTTAGAAAGGACTTTGGAGGTCACATTGTACAACCTTGTACCCAAACAGGAATCTTCTCCAATAATAGGGAATTTGTACAGCTTTTTAAAGTTTGCAAAGCACAGGGCCCCTGGGACCTTCCTATTGTGGTATTCAGACTCCTCTGCATTTTCCCTGGGAAGGTCCTTGGCTATTTAGAAAAGCAGATTATTGGGGCAGCTAGGTGGTGCAGTGGATAGAGCACTGGCCCTGGCGTCAGGAGGACCTGACTTCAAATCCAGCCTCAGACAGATAACACTCACTAGCTATGTGACCCTGGGCAAGTCACTTAACCCCAATTGTCTCACAAAAAAAAAAGAAAAGAAAAGCAGATTATTCCTAATGATAATGAAGTTCACCTTGCCTGTTTTTCTGTTGTGAAGGATGTCCTTTGGTGGGACTGGGCACTAACTGCTCTCTGCCCACTATCACCCTCCAGGCAGGCTTTCTCAGTCAAGTTAACATGTACTTATTAACTTCCTGCTGTATTTTAGGCACTGTTGGGGAGATAAAGAAAGGCCAAAGACAGATGCTGCTTTCAGAGGGCTTACAGTCTAATGGGGGAGATAGCATTTCTTTTTTTTTTTTTTCTGTTTGCTAGGCAGTAGGGTTAAGTGACTTGCTCAGAATCACACAGCTAGTGAGTGTTATGTGTCAGGCTGAATTTGAACTCAGGTCCTCCTGACTCCAGGGCCGGTGCTCTATCTAGTGTGCCACCTAGCTGTCCCCTTGGGAGATAGCATTTCTTTTCAGGGCAAGATGAAACAGAGTCTGAGCAAAACGGCTTTTAGAAAGATTGGAGGGGCAGTTAGATGGCACAGTAGATAAAGCACCAGCCCTGGAGTCAGGAGGACCTGAGTTCAAATGTGACCTCATACGCATAATACTTACTAGTTGTGTGACCTTGGGCAAGTCACTTAAGCCCATTGCCTAGCCCCCCCACCAAAAAAAAAAAGACTGGAGTTCTTAAAGCATTAAGAATTGTCACTATTTAGTTGAATGAAATACTTTTTTACCACATTTGTCTCCATAGTAGTTTCTGCTTCAGGATGTCCCAAGTACTCATCAGAACTGGAGATAGCAAGTGGAGAAAGGAAAGGGCCCTTAAGGCCTGTTGGATGCACTTTTAGTTCTTCTTTTGGGAAATTATTTTTCCAGATGGGTGGGGTTCTCCTGGTACTTTCAAGTCTTGGGGTTATTGACTGCTGAGTGGTGGAGGCCATTGTAGGGTCCACTGTGGTTGACCATGCCCTTCCCTTTCTAGTCTGAGCTTTTTTGCCGTTGTGGAAGAGCAGGAGACCGAGCTCTCTGAAAAAGACTTTTTTTCTGAGGCAGGTCCAGAAGTGACAGGACAAACAAACGTTTTAGGAAATAGATGGGGGAGCTGCCATTTTGGTTTGCTGAGGATCTTTTCAGGCAGCAACTCACACCACTCTTCATGGCCTTTTCTTCCAGGCCTGGAAGGAGCCATGGGGTGGTCCTTTGGATGGAGTACCACCTGACTGCCGAGAGCTCGATCAGCACAGGCCTCGTCCAGAGGCCTGAGGCCCAGGTATCTGGAGGGTTGAGGGGTTTGGTTGGGATAGTGCATGCCTTTATTCATTTCTATAAAACTGTCACATGCAAAGCGAAGGACACGTATTCTTCTGAGTCCTGCTCCTAGGATATGTTTGCTGCACTTGCCTAATCAAAAACTGGCCTTGGAGTGCCTAGTTTCTTTCAAAACTGGTATAAGTGCCCCTTTTTACATGAAATGTTTCTTGATCTCATCACCCTGATTCTCCCATCCGCACCCCCAAATTTACTTTGTTTTTGTTTTGTAAACATTCAGAATATGCTTATTTAGGTACTTAGTTTTTCCTCTGATGGGGTTCACGGCTCCTCCCTTTTGTATCTTTGTATCTTTGTATATGCCTTGCAAGGATAGACACTTAAGAGCTGTTGATTTATTGATTGAGTTACAAACCAGAATGAACTTATCAAAAATAGGTTAGGTGTGTGTTTTTAACCTAGTGGTTATGCCAGTAACTTTATCAGTCACTTTGGCTGTTTCTGTTTATGTGTCTCCCATCCGCCCCTCACCAGTTACCTTCTTCTTCTTTTTTTTTTTTTTTTGCTTTTTGGTAAGGCAGTCGGGGTTAAGTGACTTGCCCAGGGTCACACAGCTAGTAAGTGTCAAGTGTCTGAGGTCGGATTTGAACTCAGGTCCTCCTGACTCCAAGGCTGGAGTTTTATCCACTGTACCACCTAGCTGCCCCGTGCCAATTACCTTCTTGAGAATTGTTGGTTTTTTATGGCCATGGAACCCAGATAACTGGCCAGTAGAAGTGGCACATGACATGCCCTAGAGGCCTATTCTAGATAAATGTAATTTTGGACAGAATACTTTGATGAGCCTGTGAGTTTGATAGTGATAACAATAATAACAATAGAATTTACATAGCACCTTAAGTTTTTCAAAAAGCTTTACAAATATGATCTCACTTGATCCTGACAAACAACCCTGGGAGGGAGGTGCTATTATTATCCCAGTTTTACAGATGAGGAAACTGAGGCAGACAAAGGTAAAATTACTTGTCCAGGGTGACCCAACTAGTGAGTGTCTGGGGCAGGATTTGCAATCAGGTATTCCTCACTCCCAAGCTGAGTGCTTCATCGCTTCTCTCATCTATTTGATGTGGGTGCTGCCTTTACTAGTGCAGATCCCAGTCCATGCATGGGCTTTCCTCCTGGGCAGCTCCTTCATGGAGAATCTGCCCAGTGTACTTACTGCCTCCTTCTTGTGGTCCCTTGTAGGCATCTCCCACCCTTCACATTCCTTGTCTTAGGCACGTGAGCCCTTGGTCTCTGCCTGAGTCATCAGTGACTCAGTGTGCTCTTGTCGAGCCTGCTTGTACCCATCAGATGCCTTTCTGTTGTCCTTTGGACCACTTGCAGTTTGATGGTGATTATTAATAATAATGATAAGCGCTAGCAATTAAATAGTATTTTGAAGTTTGCAATGCCTTTTGCCTAGTGGTTATCTCATTTGACTTTTAAAACAACCCTGGGAAGTAGTACATGCTGTTATCTCCATTGTGTAGTGAAGAAACTGAGGTAGACAGAACTTAAGTGACTTGCCCGGGGTCACACAGCTAGGAAGTGTCTGAGGTCACATCTGAACTCAGGTCTTCCTGATGCTGAGCTCAGCTCTCTGTTCACTGCACCCTGCTGCCAGTTCTTCTGAAGTTCATGATTGCAGACATTCAGTGTTGCCAGGGGGATATTCTGACTGCCATACTAGGAGCCTGTGCCTTTGTTGGCAGCCTCTCTGACATGGATGGCAGAGCTTCTGTGACTTAGCGCATGGTGTTCAAGAGGCGTTGGCCAATTGGTTCTTGCACAGCTCACAAGGGCCTGGTCAAAGTTGGTGCTTTTGTTAATCCACGCTAACCTGCCCCTCCCGGACATGGGGCATGATGGGCTTGGAATCTGAGGAAAACGCATCAGTGTTAAAAAGAAAATGGACCTGTGGGTCAGGTAGCAACCTGAGTTCACTGAAGGGCTGCCCAGTTTCTCTGGGGCGGTTCAGTTCTGTTCTCAGATCATCGGGTTATCTGCAGTGACTGAGAAAGCCGATTGGAAGATGAATGAGAAATCTTGCTCCTTCCTCATGCTGGCTAAGCTCTTGGGCCAAGCACGAGGTCTGGGGACACTGACCCTTCAATCCCCCAGGTCCTCCTTGTGAGGAGCTGGGGACGTCAGATACAAAAAGGAAGTAGCCCTGCCCTCAGAGTGCTTACACTTTGCAATCCTAAATGCATGCACTGAGGAGACACACACATACCCCAGTATGTGTTAAGAAATGCAGACTAAAGAGAGAGAAGTGGTAGTGACCAGGCATGGAGGGGAGATCAGGAAGGCGGAACATCTTGCAGCATCCTGGGGGACATTGGCAGAGGCCCTGAGGGAGGAGAGAGAATGTCCTGTCCAGGAAACAGCCGGCAGCAGGCAACAGGGAGTGGAGAACGTGGGATTGTGGGAGTAGTGAGAAATGAGAGTGAAGGGGAGCGGGGAGCCAGCTTGGAGAGCCTTCGATATCAGGCAGAGCAACTTGTACTTTAAACCACGAAGTCTTGAGGAGCCCTTAAAGAATCTAGAGCAGGGGATGACCCTGTCTGCCTTGGGCTGGTCAGCAGTGGGCAGGAGTGATGGGTAAGGGGAGAGAGCAGATGATGGAATCAGGATCCGTGGAGAGCTTAACCTAATGATGGAATTTACACAGGGTCAGTCGGGGGGGGGGGATGATAATTAACCTCTATTAAATGTAGTAGGGATTAATGTAAAGTCTTTATCTTAAATTGAAAAAAAAAATCAGCTCAGGGTAAACTCCGTCCCTGCCTTGCTTATTGGGTTTGGGAAAAGGGCCTTGGTTATTGAAAAGCTCCAGAACTCATAAAACCTCTCTTTTTTCTCCCACAGGGTGAGTGCTCGTGGAACCCCCACTGTAAACAGGCTGTTTATTTCCTTAATTCTACTTTGGAAGCAAAAACTCAAGACAGTCCCCAGATTGTCACCTATGCCCTTGAGTTTAACCCAAAGGTGGGTGATATTTCCATGGATTTCAGGCTTGTAAGCTAAAATTAATCTGCTCTCCTGGACCTTTTCAGTTACAGAGAAATAAAGTAGCACAAGAGCTGTCATGATGTGTTTTTTTTGGGAAGGGAGAGTTCAAAACCACCCCTGTCTTTTCTTGGGGAGCCCTGATTAGTAAGGAGGAGCTGCCACAGGCTGGACAGAACAAAGGTGACCACAAGAGTGGTGTCCTCACAGCAAGGCCAGAGTCTAAATGAGGTCTGGGGGCTAAGTCTAAAGCCTTGTGGCTCTGGAACGAAACGTGTGAAGCCCAGCCTCCCTTTCCTGTGAAGGGAATGAAATTCAATGTGAACACGAAGAAGAAAATTGCTCTTTAAGATGGAGGGAAGCACAACATGTCAGGTCCCTTTCAAGTAGGAACTGGCTGTTTGACCTTTGGCCTTTCCTCAGGGTCTGTGAGAAAAGGGGACAGGGGTGGGCGGGGTTAGACTTAGATGATGTTTCTCTGACGTTCTGCATCGTCTATTGAAGCATTTTTGGTTCTGTGGTCATTCTAGCTCTGGTGTTCTAGATCAGGCATTCAACAAACAGGAAATGTCTCCTAAGGGTCATGATTGGGGATACAAAGAAGGATTAAAGGCAATCCCTACTGTCACCAAGCTCACGGTCTAGGGAGGGAGACGGCATGCCAACAGCTATGCACAAACAAGATATGGACAAGAGGACTTTGAAGTAATCGGTAGAGAGAGGGCACTGGAATGAAGGCGATTTGGGAAAGGTTTCCTATGGACGGTGGGATTTTAATTTGGCCTTAGAAGAAACCAGGAAGCAGATTTGAGGAGGGCCTGAGGGACAGCCAGAGAAAATGCCCAGAGCCAAGAGATGGTGTGTCCCGTGTGAGGAGGCCGGTATCCCTGGATCCCAGAGCATGTGTGCGGGAGACGCGGTGCGAGGTGTGAGGAGATGGAAAGGGAGGGGGTATGGGGGTGAGATGGGCACCAAGCCGAGGGCTCATCCCCTTCTTTTGTGTCATGGACCCATTCTCGGAATAAGATCTTTAAATTCATGAAATATAAAAGATTGCAAAGAAAACAAGTTATACTAAAATACAGTTCTAAAAAAGTATTTAAAAACAAGATTGTGGATCCCAGTTTAAGAATCCCTGTTCTAGATGTTGACAATTCTTAACAAAATCAGTGTAATGCTGAATGGTGGTACTAGAGCATTTCTTCATGGGCAGTTTCCAGCAGGTCCATCCACATTTTTAAGGGATCTATGAACTTGGGTGGAAAAAAATTATATCTTTATTTTTACTAATTTATGACTGGAATTTAGCATTTCCTTCCATTTAAAACGTTATTCTGTGAAGGGGTCCACAGTCTTCACCATTCTTTCAAAGTGTTCTATGACCCACAAAGGTTTAGAACCCCTTGCTGTTGAGCTTTTCTTGAGTTTTTAGTATTTAAACCTGCAACAGGTAGGGGGGTGAAACCATGCTGATCAGTAGTAGATTGCAGCCTGGGTCAGGAGAATGAGCCTAATCGCCACTAGGATTGGAGGAGAGAGAAACACCCTTTCACAGGTAGAGTTTTAAAAAGAATATGAAAATTGCTTCTAGTATTTTCTTGTGGAAGAGAACGTAACCAGAACCTTCCATGTTCTTTGAAATCTTGCAAAATTCAGCCAATCTGTATCTAATTTGAGAGGGTTGAATTTCATTTGAGATGAAGCATGAGTAGTGATTTCAGCTGCAGCAGGAGGCATGGTGTGCCTGAAGCCAAAGGGCAGATGCTTCCGAAGAGCAGATGATGGTGGCCTTCATCTGACAGGCTCAGGCGGCCTCATTCCAGAGGCCAGACTGAGCTTTGCTGTCTTCCCTGGCTCTCTGTTAACACAACCCCTCTAACAAGGAAGCATAGACTCCACCGTTGGGAGGGACTTCAAGATTTCTTCCCCACTCTCTCATCTCCCGCTTTGCAGTGAGAAAACAGGATCCCATTGAATGACTTGCTGCAGACCATCCAGTTGTGTTGGCAGATGTGCTTGGGAAGCCAGAGTCCCTGCTTTCTGAGCCAGTGTTGTGCTCTGTGGGTCGCCCCCATCAGCCATTTGTCAGTGGCCTTCTTGGGGAGCCCACCTGTCCCCAGCACTGTGGATGTGCTCCTTCCTTGTTCTGTGGCCACGATCAGCAGTTGAAAAAGGATATCTCAATATCGTGATTTCATAGGGACATAGATTAGAGGTGGAAGGGACCATGGAGGTCATGAAGTCCCACCTTATTTTTTTTTTTAGAGAGAGAGAGAGAATTTTTTTAATTGAAATTACAATTTTTACGATTTACAGTTTACAAATTTACAATTTTTATAGTTTTCCAAAAGTTTCCAAACCGTTACTCTCAAACCCTCTGTTCACACAGTTTGTGCAAGTAGATTATGCCTTTCTTTTTACCCATACTCCTCTCATTCCTACATGCTTAAACTTTCTTGCCTTTTTTTTTTATCTACTTATCCCTCTGGTGGACTTTGATTAAAGCCCCCTTTAACACTGTACATGTCTTACTTCTTTTCTTAATTAATAAATTTGTTTTTAGTTTTCAACAATCACTTCCGTAAACTTTTGAGTTTTAAATTTTCTCCCCCTTCTTCCCCCCCTTCCCTTCCCAAGACGGCATGCAATCTGATATAGGCTCTACATATACATTCCTATTAAATATGTTTTCACATTAGTCATGTTGTAAAGAAGAATTAGAACCAATAGGAGGAACCACAAGAAAGAAGAAACAAAACAGAACAAGAAAAAAAAATAGCAAATAGTGTGCTTCTATTCTGCATTCAAACTCCATAGTTCTTTGGATGTGGATAACATTTTTCATCATGAGACTTTTGGAGATGTCTTAGATCCTTGCATTGCTGAGAAGAGCTAAGTCTGTCAAAGTTAGTCATCATGTAACGTGGCTGTAACTGTGTACGATGTTCTCCTGGTTCTGCTCACTTCACTTAGCATCAGTTCATGCAAGTCTTTCCAGGTTTTTCTGAAGTCCGCTTCCATCATTTCTTATAGCACAATAGTATTCCATTACATTCATACACTACAACTGGTTCAGCCATTCCCCAGTTGATGGGCATCCCCTTAATTTCCAGTTCTTTGCTACCGCAGAAAGAGCTGCTATAAATATTTTTGTAAATGTGGGTCCTTTTCCCATTTTTATGATCTCTTTGGGATACAGCCCTATTGCTATCGCTGGGTCAAAGGGTATGCGCGTTTTTATAGCCCTTTGGGCATGGTTCCAAATTGCTCTTTAAAATGGTTGGATCAGTTCACAACTCCACCAACAATGCATTAATGTTCCAATTTTCCCACATCTTCTCATTTATCATTTTCCTGTTTTATCATGTTAGCCAATCTGATAGGTGTGAGGTGGTACCTCAGAGTTGTTTTTGTATTTCTCTAATTAATAGTGATTTAGAGCATTTTTTCATATGACTATAGATGGCTTTAATGTCTTCATCTGAAAACTGCCATATCCTTTGACCGTTTATCAATTGGGGAATGACTTGTATTCTTAAATATGATTTAGTTCTCTATATGTTTTAGAAATGACGCCCTTATCAGAGACACTGATTGTAAAAATTCTTTCCTGGTTTTCTGCTTCCCTCCTAATCTTGGTTGCATTGGCTTTGTTTGTGCAGAAACTTTTCAGTTTAATGTAATCAAAGTTATCCACTTTGCATTTCATAATATTCTCTATCTCTCGTTTGGTCATAAATTCTTCTGTTCTCTATAAAACTGACAGGTAAACTATTCTTTGCTCTCCCAGTTTGCTTGTATAGCTATATCCTTTATATCTAAATCATGAACCCATTTTGACTTTATTTTGGTATATGGTGTGAGATTTTGATCTATGCTTAGTTTCTGCCATACTCTTTTCCAGTTTTCCCAGCAGTTTTTGTCAGAGAGTGACATGTGGGAGCCAGTGATTCAGTCAGTTGAGATGGCACTGGAGCCCCCTCCCCGCCTTGAGAGCATCCATTGCATCTGCAGTGGCGGGAAAGGATGAGGGATGCACTAGGAGAGGCCAGCTGGTGAACATCCTGTCCTTCCCTGTGTTCGCTGCTTTTGAAGCAGAGGTGAGGCTCGCCTGGTTCACGACAGTTGTCTTTGTTAGGCATAACTCTCCATTCAAGCCCTCGGCTGATAACTCATTGGAGAGTGGAGTGGTGCTTGGGGCACTGGCTGTGCCAGTCAGCCGGGAAGGGCAGATCCTAACTGAGCAGGAAAGGCCTCAGGGATGAGCCGGTGCTGGACTCTGTTCTCTGGGGCTTGCACTGGTCTGGCTCAGCTAGCTGCAGACTGGCTCGTTCGTGCAGGGTTTGCCACCAGCTTAGGGATTTTTTCCCACCACAGCTAACCGTGAAACATTTACCAAGGAGCAGAGGAAGGGTTTTCAGGCTGCATTGTTGGAGGATGTACCTATGAAGAGGAAATGACAGGTATTTTGAAGAATCAAAAGTACTTCGCTAACAGTAGCTCCGTGAAGTAGGTAGGACAAGCAGTGTATCCTCATTTTGGAGGAAAGTCGGGATTAGCTATTTGTTTAGGGCATTTGGTCACAGTTACGTATCGTGGCAGAGCTGGGCCTGGAACTGGGGTCTTGCTGTGCATCCTTCCATAATCTTATAAATTGCATCTTTGGGAGGTACATGAGGAATATCATAGAAATTGGTTAGCTACCACTGTGGGTTCTCTCAGAGATCTGGAATGGGTGGGTCTTCTTTGGTTTTTAAAACCCTGGAAAGTGACTTCTACTCTGGGGTCAGAGCAAAATGAATTTCCCCAATAAATCACTCAAATAAATGGGAAACAGAAGCTTTGAGTTTTAATGTTTTATTTTCTCCTTCACATCAACTATTCATTCCTTTCAGCACCAATAAATGAAAGAAAAAACCCTTCAAAATATTTTATTAGATGTAAGATTTGTTTTCTTACAGGGAAGAAACAGATGGATATATATCAGATACAGTTTTACCAAAACGTTAGGTGTGCTTACCGTATAAAACCCCTTCAGGTCCCAGAAGGATACAATACAGAAAAATTATTGAAATTAAAAAAGTTTTTTTAAAACGGTATTTTCTAACCTTAGCAGTAATACAATATTTAAAAAGCATCAAGATTAATATTCATACTTAAAACTCAAGATGGTTTTGGACACATGAAAACGCTTCCTTCATAAGCCGTCCGACTGAACTGGGTCCCAATGCATGGCTTATCTTGGAGCTGGTCAGAGGCATCTTCCCTTTCCCCAGCCCTGGAGCAGGAGCAGGAGCAGGAGCAGAAGCAGAAGCAGATTATTGTTTCTAAGCCAGGAGCGAGACCATGAGCTACTCCTAGCTTGGACATTACTTGATTTCATTGAATCTGAGTCACAGGGAAATTTTTTAAAAAATCAAGACTGTAAAAATTTTAGTTTATGGACAAGCCCCCTTAGAATAATCTGTGGGCTTCCTAAAACCATCATGACAAGCAAATGCTCTGGGCTGGTTGCCAAGGATTGAGGGAGGGGAAGTTGTGGTCTCTGAGCACTAGTTTACATCTCTGTCAAAAAGGATAAAAGCAGGGCTAGGTGTTTGAGCTGCCAAAGGCTGGCCAGACTTTGTCCCTGTTTTACAGAGGACAGGATGGAGGCACAGGGAGATTGCCTAAGGCCGTGTAGTCAGCAAAGAGGGGAGTGTGTGACCCAGCCATCATGTTCCAGATGGGACAGTTGCTTCCCGGTGAGTGAATACAGTTCCCAGCAGATGGTCCACTTGGCAGAACAACGCTAACCATCACATGTTCTGTCTCCAGCCTTTGAGAGAGGCACCAGTCCCTGCCTGGCTTACGAGGACTGGCCCTCAGTATTCCCTGGCCCCCCTGCTGGATCCAGCCAGGGAAAGCTGACATTCTGTATCACTGGCCCTGGACTCAGGGCGCTCTGCAAGGCTCTGTATGTGTGAGGATGTCCGTACATACACAGCTGCGGATGGTGGTTGTGTTTGTGGGTAGGGGTATGTGGCTTCACAGCTGGAACAATTGTAACCTGATGAGTCCTGTGGCATGTGTTCGATCATAACAATCACGTGATTCATGCGCACTGACAAACCAGAATAAGTGAATGTTAAAAAGTCCCGGAGTCTAAAGGCTTCTCTCTTATAAGAGGTTGGGATTCTCTAGCTCAGTGAAAACTCTAAAGTGTGGATGATTCCAAAAAGATGTCAGAGTCTTGTTTGGAGAATCAATGAATGAATGGACAGGTAGGGAGGGCCTGGAGTTTAGCATTCCTCAAAGCACACTAGCCTTAGGAATGTAGAGATGCTGCAACCACGATTTCTGGATGAAACACTCTGGTAAAGAGGGTGGGACACTGGCAGTGCTCCCTTGGGGTAGGTCCAGCTCTCTTCCTAGCATAGCTAGGAGCCCTTGCTTTCTGTGGTTGTGATCACTCCCATGGTGACCCTTGGAGGTGAGATCAGGAATAGGGAGGATTCACTAAGCAGGAGGAATGATTTGATCAGACACCGTCAGCTGTAGCCTGCACCCTCTCATCCTTTGTTTCAAGCTTAAATCTTGCTCCTTTCAGAAAAATAGCATTTCTTGATGGAGTGGCCTCAGGCAGCACTGTTCCCCCTCAGACTTGCAGTGGCTTGGCTGCCCTGGGTCCTGTTCTTTGCCCTTGATCTTCTGTTCCTTACACCTGCTGTCAAACTGCCTGGGGACGGTTAGACGTCAGCCTTGGTTTCCATGAATTTGAGCCCAACCTTGGGCCTAGTCCTATAGCAGAATCATACCTAGAGCTGCCCTGGGCTTACCTGACTTGGGAGGGGTGTTTGTTCCCCCAAACAGTAGCAGTGTCTCATGGCTGTGAAGGGCTAAGGCCTTTGGATGGGTCACACACGGGTCACCTGTCCATAGCCAGTCTTACCTCCTGGCTGCATTTGGCTGAGGACGGATAGTTGGCTGGATTGGGATGAAGGAGTCATTTCTCCCCACCCTTGCTCCTGCCCATCAACTTCACTCAACCTCTCATGCAGATGAAGGCATCAGAAGGCACAGGGTCAATGTACTAAGACGAGGAGAATTTGTACCGTGGGGTTCTGGTGCTGTCATCACCCTGTTCTTACTGTGGGCTATGCTGGGGTATGAGACCGGTGTGAATAAGAGCTCAGGGTGTTGTATGGTTGTGTGAACAATAAGTAACAACATTCTGTTTAAAACCAGAGATCGCCAAAAAACCAAGGTCAAAATCTAAGTAGTAGTTTGGCATAAAGTTAAAAAAATTCCATGGGTTAGAGGGAGAGGAAAATGCCTGATTGCTTCTATTTAAAGAGGCTACGCAGAGAATTAAAGCTGAAGGTGCTTAAGACAGGATGTTCTTACAGGGAATCGGCAGAATGTGTTGGAGGAGGTCTGGCTGGCATCAGGCTCCCAGACAGGTGATTTTCAAATCCGGGGTCAAACTAGATCCCTTGTTGGTGAGAGTGGAGTGAGTTTAACTTTTCCCCTGCAACAGTGATACCTGGGACCAGAACTGCCCAGGACCAGCCAAAGGGAGGACCCAAAGAAAGCACAATTGAGGAAAAGCAAGTGGTATAGGACGGTGCCACAGGGGCTGTTTGTCTGGGAGCACAAGATGACGTGTCTCTCCATTCGTGCAGATTGTGCAGAGATCTTGTGGCAGGAGGTGTTAATGATCAATCTTACCAAATGGAGGAGGTTGATGTGGTCATTTTCTTTTCTTTCTTGACATCCCCCTCCTCAGTTTTCATGTTTGGTTGACTAGGAATCCTTCCTTGGGAGAGCCCAGTGGAAATGTGAAGGCCTAGCCCTGAAAGGATCCTTAGTTGTAAATCTCCCCCCCCCCAGCTATGGCTTGGTTGGTGTCCAGGGGCCCTCAGCCATGGGCCAAAAAAATAAAAGGTAGATTGGCCGAGCAACTAGGGATGAGATCCCAGGAGATCTGGGGTGGCTACTGGACGAAGAGCTAGAAACAGGCCAAGTCGGACTTCATCCTGGAGATACGCATCACTCAGAAGCTGACCGTGGGCAGCCGCTCATCTGTCAGCAACAGTATAGTCAACTCCCTTGGGACTCAGCTGGGCCAGTGAGGTAGGGACCAGCAGTCCACTGGACCAGTGGGTAAACTGAGGCACAAAGGGATTTTTTTTTTTTTAAATTTTCCTTCCCCAAATCACAAAATGATGCCACATGATGGAGAAGAACCCTGAAGTCCTAACTTTGTCATCTGGTCAAAGTCACTCAGGTTTGAAGCTAAGAAAGATCATGCAATAGAAATGGAACTGTGGGTTGAGAGACAGGAAAGAACACTACAAATCAGTATTATAAAAGGTAGATGGCTCCTTCCCACTTGTATGGTGAGATTTCCCCACTCTCCAATAAAACCACAGGTTCCATCGAGTTTTCCCTTTTCATTATGTCCCTTTCCCAGAAACACCTCTTTTCTAATTTTCAGCCCTGACAAGCCTCTCTCTTAGGAGCATTGGATGTCTTTAAAGTCAGGTGGGGACTGACACTGACCTGCTTTCCATTGGCCTTCCCTTCCTGGGTACCTCAAAGTGATTTTTTTTTCTTCCTAGAGCATAATTCCCCTCAAATGTAGGCCTTTGGAAAGGAACACAGCATTTTCCCTGTCACTGGAGACAGAGCATTATTGTTGGTTTGGAAAAGCCCCACTGTGCTGGTTAAAAAAAAAAAACCTATTGGCTGCCCAGCAGTCCGTAATGGGCCTCCTGGACTATTTCCTGATTGCGTTTCGAATTCTTTTTTTTTTTTCCCTATTTTTGCCCTATGGCTATCATAATGGCTGTTTCATCTCGAGTGTGTAGCATGCAGTTAGAGCGCATGCTAGGGCACAGGCATGCTATGACGACATTGGCAGGCTAAAAAAAAAATCCAAAACCAAGCCTTCAGCTTTATAAGAGCTATACAAAGAAATGATGCAAAACCCATTAAGAGCACTACCCCACAGATTGCAAACTAAGTTGTGCTGTAGAATTCATATAAAACCGTGTTTTGTAAGAATGGCACTGGTTAAAAGGAGTTAGGGCTCGGCGTTCCCCTCCCCTCCCAGCCGCCTGGCCACTGCATTCCTTGGTCCACAGTGAACGTGTAGAAATTCAGGCCGACCCTGCTGCCCGGGTAGCTCCGGACAGTGGCCTTAGCCCTCGTGGATCCCTTTTGGTCTCTCACCTCCTGCCATCCTTGTCCCCTCTTCTTGGCTCCAGAGAGCAATGGAGAAGGGACCTGGTCCATCTTTGGAGGTGTTGGGAGAGGTGACTGGAGGCCAGGTGTTTTCATCTGGCTCACGTGGCACTGGAAAAAAGTCCTTTGTATCCCAAGAACATAGGCCAGGTCTTCTTAGGCTGGCCTGGGTCCTGACTGACCGCGGGGCTGGTGCATCTACACCTCTTCCTCGCCAGTGTTGACCATCAGGCGCATGGCCACAGGTAGGTGGTCAGTCAGACCTGCTAACTGGGTAATAAAACTGAATTCCTCCACTTCCTACAGGAAAATAATGGTGTAAAGAACAAGAGAGGGTGAGGATAAAATTCAACAAGGAGGGATTGCAGTTAAGCACAGAAAAAACATTCTGATGGTAAAGGGAATGTAGAGGGCAAGGTGGTCAGACAAGGAGAGACCAGGTGGCTGCCGCCATGTTCCTTTTAAAAGGTTGTGGTCTCCTGTTGCAGGCCCCTCTTGCTGAGCTCATCCTTCCCCCCTCCTCCCACCTTAGTTTGGGCCCGGTTATAGGATGATTGTCACCAACCTAGCTGACACCGATGTAGCAGTTGTTAGGTTTGTAAAGTGCTTTACGTAGACCAGGTCATTTGATTATCACAACCCTGTGAAGCAGGTGCTCTCATTACACTGTACAAATGAGGCCGTAGGATTCAGAGCCGGAAGAGGCCTTCGACATCATTTAAAAAGTCCTTAACCTGGGCTCTGGGAGCTTGTTTAAAATACTTTGATGCTGTATTTTGATCTAATTGGTTTCCTTTGTAATCCTATGTATTTATCAATAGGATTGTGAGGAGGGGTCCATAGGCTTCATCAGACTACCAAAGGGGCCCATGACCCAAACAAGATGAGAACCCCTGATCTGGCCCGACCAGATCTTTTTGCCCATGAGGAATTGGGTCCAGAGATGCAGCTCGTCCAGGTTCACATGGGTCTTTTCTTAGTAGCAGAGCTGGCACTGGGTAGGTCCTCTGATTCCAAATATAGAACTCTTTGACTTATGCCGAACTGTCTCAGCTGAGATAGCTCACCCCAACTCAAAACTTTCCACCTCTATCCGGTCTAGCAAATTGGTGCTTTGTGTGTTCTGCTCCCAGACATCGCACCTGAGCCTGGGAGGCAGGCTGCAGGGCTGCCTGCCAAAGCAGCTTGGACTAGCCCAACACCCAGGGAGGCCCTCCCAGCTGCCCCGCACACATTCTTTCCTGGAAAACTCACCACTTTCCACTCCAGGTAGAGGCCCTCCTCAGAGTAGAGCATGTAGTCAATTCTCCTGCCATTACCCTTCACCAAGACCTTCTGGTTGGAAGGATGGCTCTTGCTGGTGGGATAGTCAATATATTCTTTCCTCCCTTCTTCGCTTTCCAGAGCCCTGGTCCATACAAATGAACAAGTTGTGAGCAGACAGTGTCAGGGTTCCCCATTTCAGATGTGAGATGCTTGTGAAGGATGACTCTGACCACCCCTCCTCAACTCCCTCCCCAAACCCCAACACAAGATTCAAGCATGTCCATCTATGGTTTCTGCCAGTGGAGTTGCCATTAGGTTGTAAAAGGGGAAATAATCCTGGCTATGCTAAGTTGTTTAAACATTCAAAAACTTAAATTTCTCCTGTTGTGACTCAAGTAAACTTTGCTCTTTAGAAACAGAGGATTTGTGGGAGAGGAGACCAGTGTCTCTACATTGAAAAGCTTAGATGCTTAAATAAGCATTGCCGTGTAATGTGACCCCAGCATCTACAGGCTCTGCTTCATTTAGAGAAGGTGGAGGTGTCACCTTAAGCCAAGAATAACTCTTGGCCCCTTGTTGGTTAATCTCCTGAGGGCCAATCTGGGCCCTTCCAATGCTGTTGTGATGAAACTGCTTTAGAAATGTGGGCTTTTAGTCTTAATTTTTTTAATGGCTCAAAAATGGCTTTTTCCAGAGTCCATTTGAATGCAGTATGAGAGCTGGAATTCTATTTCTTTTGTCTTCCCTCTTGCTGGAGAAAAATGAATGCTTGAAACACATAGCCTGTGGCACCATGATGAATATGGGGCCACCTAGCCCCCCCCTTTCTAGGAGCTGGGTTCTTGCTCCATAACAGAGGGATGTTACTGTTGGTACCCTCGTCTCCGTAGGGCTGAGAGCCATTTTTTTCTTCTCAAAGAGTACAGAAGTTTATTTTCACCTCTATTATCTTATTGAATCTCCCAGTAGAGGGGCTGTTGGGGTCCAGGAAAAAGCACTGGGGTTTGGAGTCAGAGAACTTGAATTCCGATCCCATTGGTGTCACTATTTGTGTGACCTTGGAGAGGTCATGACCTTTCTGGGCCTCAGTTTCCTCAACTGTAACATGAGGGGCTTGGGTTAGAGGTCCCTTCTGGCTCTAAGCTTATAATTCTATGTCTAGGTAACTATTATTCATTTCATGTAAATAGGTGGGCAAATTAAGGTGCAAAGTAGTTAGGTGATCTTTCAGAGCCACATGGTAAGGTAGGGTTGACCGGGGGGACTGAGTTAACACTAAGGAAACCTAGTTCTCACGACTCCATGCCTAGAACTATTTCCATGAAACTGGTTCTCATCCTGACTCTACGGGTTTTGCTCTTACCCTCAAATGAAAGTATTGGGAGCAGCCTGAGGTACTGGATCTGGTCAGGGGATCTGGATTCTATTCCCAACCCTGCTGGTTAGCAATGTGACTTTGGACAATCATTTCTTAGGGCAGTTAGTTTTCTTGACTGTAAAGTGAGGGAGTGGGTTGTAGATTTAGAGTTGGAAGGACCCTAGAGGTTGTGTAATCCAACCCCTTCATCTTATAGATGAGGAACTGAAGCCCAAACTTAGTTCATGTAGGTGGTAAGAGACAGAGTCTGTATCTGACCCCAAGACCAAGGCTTCCGACCTATTCTCTTTCCACAGTATTATGCTCCTTTTCAGTCCTCTGGTTCTATGAATAGTCTTGAATATGGATAGGCTTGCTGGTTGGACAGTGGGATGGATGCATAGACTTTATTCCATTTTGGGTTGAGAAGCAGACTGCCTCATTCCCCGTCCCCTGCCACTCCCAAGTCACCTGCCACTTCTTAGAAAAAACTATAAACTTGAATCTAGGGTTTAGTTCGAGAGGATGAGTGAGCTAGAAAGTGTCTTTCTGGCAGTCTTAACCTCTTCAGACATCCAGGATGAAGCAAAAGACAAGAGATACTGCATAGGCTTAAAATGATGCTCTGGATGGGGTCACTTGAATTATAGACAGATTGGAAAGAAGAGCATGAAAATGGTTCAACGAGCAAACATGGGTTTCTACAAGAAGTAATTTATCAGCATTAAAGATAAATACTCTAATAACATTCAGAACATCATTAAATCAGAGAAATGGAATCCATTATCATCCATTTGCCTTCCCTAATTAATTCCAGCATCAGTGATCTGAGAGTTACTGATAAGCAAAGGATAGGAGTCATTTTTTAATCATCACCTCATAAAAGATAATTTCTTGGTATAGGATGGTGCTTTGGATTTAGACTATAATCTAATTAATTGCCTCAAATTGGCTGTACTAAGAGACAGCCCTGAGTTCATGTAATTTTAGACTTTGAATTAGAAACTGCTTCAACTGTTGGTCTTGTAAATGTACATCCTCTTTGAAAGTCTCGTTTAGACTCCAGAATGCCATCTGCCTGGGATGGAATTTTCTTTGCTTTGAAAGTTATCTGCTTGTATTAGGTTTGCTTGGCCCTGTTATCTAATTGGTGGCTACTAGCCACTGACTTTGCTTTACTGGAAGTCAGTTTAATGCAGAGTTGCTATGTCATGGGGGAGAGGGAGGTTTCACCCTTAGTCTGATGGAGACTCTTTATCCAGATGGGCAAATCACTACCTCTCTAAAATCAGTTTCCTCTGTGAAATGGGGACAATAATTTTGGCGCCTAACTCATCATTGCTATGAGGAAGACTTTGTGAATGTTGAAGACTGTGTATAAGCTTGATCTGTTGTTGTTCTGCTTCCAAATAGAGACCAAGGAGTTAGGCACCCCAAGAAGGCATGTCCAGAGTGCTGGCAGCCCTAGGCTCAGTGGAGCTCTTAAGAAGGTAACCAAGTATGACTAATGGTTTTTTGAATGAGAGACAAAAACTCTGTGCCAGTCCTATTGACCTTCCTAAATCTTGTAACCCAGTGGTCCAATTTTATTAATAGGCCAAAGAAAATTGATGCCTGGGTGGCATCTAGCATAGTTTTTGCCAGTACAAATGCTGCCTTGGATTCTCTGCCAAGTCTTATGATTGAAGATTTTCCTTCTGTTACGAGGGGTTTGAGTTTTCTAAGCTTATTTTCTGCAGGGGAAACATCTGTAGGGAGCAGCATCCTCTTTCACCTGATGGCTTTTCTCCTTTGTTCCATGCACAACCCCCAGCTGGACAGGGAACGAAGCACCCCAGATTACTCGGTTTCCCCAAGGGCCCTGGATTTTCCCACATTGTGAACTCCAGCGACAAGTGCAAGGCCTTCCATGCTGCTAGGGCCATTGCCTCAGCTGTTGGTCTAATGGCTAATACCTCTGTGTGCCCTAGGAAGGGAATATTGGGAACTCCATCTGTCTGTGTGTCTCATACTTCTGTTAGACTGTAAGCTCCATGAGTCAAAACTACATTTTCTCTCAGCTTTGTATTTCTCCTAGCATGGAGCCCAGGGCTGTAGAAGCAGCAGGTATTTAATAAATGTTTGTTGAATGCATTTGGCACTGTTGACCCTGTCTCTTCTTGAATATTCTCTCTTTTCTGAGTTTTTGTGATTCTGCCCTTTCCTGGTTCTCCTACCTGTCCAACTGTTCCTTTCCAGTCTCTTTTGCTGGATATTCACCCACTAACTCTGAGTGTTTCCCAAAGCTCTATCCTGGGCCCTCTCCTTTCCTCCCCTCTTCCTATTCTTTGTCTCTCTGTCTCTCTCTGTCTTCCTGTCTCTTTCTCTCTGTTTCTCTCTCTTCTCTCTCTCTCTCTCTCTCTCTCTCTCTCTCTCTCTTTCTCTCTCTCTGTTTTTCTCTCTCTCACTGTTTCTTTCTCTCTCTGTTTCTCTCTCTCTCTCTCTCTCTCTCTCTCTTCTCTCTCTCACTCTCTCTCTCTCTCTCTCTCTCTCTCTCTCTCTCATTAGCTTCTGTGGGTTCAGTGACCATCTCTATGCAGGTGATTACCAGACCTGCCTATCCCTTGCTAGTCTCCTTCTCAGTCTTCAGTTCTGCATCACCAACTTTCTGTTGGACATTTTGAGACATCTCAAACTCAACATATTCAGATCAGAGCTCGTTCTCTCTCTCCCCAGCCCAAACCCTTCTTTCTTCTGAACTTCCTTATTGCTGTACAAGACACCACCATCCTTCCCAGGTTCCCAGGTGAGCCTTGACTCCTTTCTTGTCCATTCCACATCCCCAGGCAGTTGCCATATCTTGGAATTCCCTTTCTCTACAACGTCTCTTGCAAACACCCCATTTTCTACACTCACCCTAGCCACTAGCCTTATCACCACACACCTGTCTGGCCTCAGAGCTTTCTGTTTGGGCTCCCTATCTTTGGTCTGTAACTGTAATTCATCTTCCCTTTACCTATCAAGGGGATTTTCCTAAAGCATAGATCTGACCATATAATCCCCCTACTCAATAAACCCTGGTGGCTCCCCATTACTTTGGCACGTGCAGCTCTTCCTCCTTTCCCGAGCTTCTGACATCTTGTTCCCCTCTGTGCACTCTCCTATCTGGATACGCTGGCGGGCTAGCTGTCCTTGCACATAACACCACATCTCTTGTCTGCCATGCCCGGAGCACCCTCCCTTCCAGCCTCCCGTTTTCAGGATCTTTGTTAGTGCAGAGCCTATCGCGAAGTAAGCACTTAATAAATTCTTGTTGATTGACTGAATGAATGGTTCCTAGCAAGTTCAGTTCCCTTTGTGAGGAAATGAGTGCGACTGGGGCATGTTAGTGAAAAGGTCAGATTCTAGCCAAGAAATCCATTTGTATGTTCTTTGTAATGAGGGAAGCCCTTTGTGAAAAAGGTTTGATTAGCCTGGGCGTGGAAAAGGATCATGATGATGATAATCAAGGATCATGAAGGTGGAGAACCAGAGTCTGCTCCTTAGCCAAGCAGGAGCTTGTCCTCTAAGCTGGGGCCCTCCCCAGGCTAGAGCAACCCTTCATTCACACAAGGGACTGTTCACTAGATGCACAGAGAAGGGTGGAGGAGCAACGGAGGGGCCGTGTGAAGAAGGACCTGCTCAGCAGGGCGCGCTAAAGGCTGATCTGAGCGTTGGGCGCCATTGTTTTATGGGAATAAGCAGATGTGAACACCTTGAAGAAACCCAGGCTCCCAGGTATGTGCCTTCCAGGACAGGGGTGTGTGTGTGTGTGTGTGTGTGTGTGTGTGTAGAGCTGGAAGGGGCTGTAGAGATTATTTCTTCCAGTCCCCACCCTTACCTCTCCCATTTGCAAATGAAGAAACTGAGGCCAGAGAAGTGAAGATGTGATTGCCCAGGGTCCCAGAGAAGGGTAGTAACCAAGCCTGGATTTGGTTCTTTGACTCCAGATCCACTTTCCATTTTACTATACAGGCCTGTTTTGGATTCTTTTCTGCCTTTGACATAATAATCTAGTAAAACTTTACTTTCTTCTTCTGAATATATGCTGTGGCCATCCATAGAGCTATCATTGACCCTCCCCCTCAACCCCCAAAATAAGATCATGGCTCTTATGAAGTTATAGAGGACTTCAGAGGCCACCTTGTAAACTGAGGCCCAGAACTGGGAAGTGACTTTCCCAAGGTCACACAGGTAATAAGTGACAGATTGGACTGGACTCCAAAGCCAGCTGTCTTTCTGTTCTGCCCTGATGCCTCTCTGATTGATATTTCCTTGGGGTCATGACCCAGACCAGATTTTTTATCTGCTAAAGGGAAAACACCAGGGTAAAGCAGCTTACTTTTGCAGATTGTCTGGGGTGCACACCTCTTCATCATGGAGGTGATCTTGTTTTAAAAAAGTACCTGAGAAACCAAGAGGACACGAGAGCAAGAATTAAAGAGAATCACATGTAGTGGTTGAAGTTGACATCCCATGGCTGAGCTGCCCTATGTGTGCCTCTGCCTGCCCAGGCATACACCCCCTTCCCAGCACTGCAGCGTGGGTAAAGTGGTCCAGGGGGATGGCTCCTGCTGTAGACCCTTCCCTGTTTCTGAAGGGAGCGGAAGGAAGAGCAATCTGGAGGGGGACACCATGGCTGGCTTCTTTTATCAGGTGTGAAAGAGACCCTTTCCCTCTTCCTTCCCCCCAGTACTTCTGCTGTCCCCTCTGCTGTTGTCAGGAAATGGACTGGCACATTTGTTTTTTTTCCCAAGGAAAGTGGGTGGAAAGGGCAGTAAAGGAGGGGCCCTTCGGCTAGTGGAAGGGGAGCAGTCTGTCATTCATGTCTCATCGTTCTACGAGTCTGTGGTCTGTCTTGGAAAGTTCATGGCAGCTTATACATGCCCTGGCTTCTGAGTCAGGACTACTTGTGGTTCACATAGTAAGAACCCACACCAACAAGCACCTGGCTGGTTATGTTTCTCCGGCCATGCCCCATGGCTCTGCAGGGGCCACCTCGATCATGCAGCAGAGACCATGCAGTCCCCTGGGAAGCGGGAGGGGAGGCCTTACCGATTGCCCACGGCTTATCCTCCCCTGGTCCAACGCGGCAGGGGTCCTTGTAGTGTGTAAACAGGGAGTGCTGTTGTACCAGCTTGTCATCTGAAAAGAGAAGAAGAAATTAGTCAGGACTGTTTCCAAGCAAAGTGAAAATCCAGGAATGCCAAGGGCCCCCATCTCCCCCTGCTTTGGCCCTACCCAACAGGCTTTCAGGAGCAGTTCTTCTCTCAGGGCAGAGACTGGCACCCTGGCAGGGGTGAGGGTCTTGCCCACAGAGGGACAGGGAAACTGCCATCCAGGCTGCCAGTGGCTACTCATGGAGGCCCCAGTATCCTCCTTGGAAGATGCCTTTTAATCTTGAATGGACAAGATTTAAGTAAGCAGTTGTAGCTCTGCCCCGGTGCCTGGTACGAGATGCTTCTGGACTCTCTGACTCTACACATAGGCGTTACCTCACAAAAATGCTCTGTGCGAGGCAGGCTTTGACACTGAGGGAAGAACCAAGGGTACAAGATGAGACCCTGCCCTGAAAGAGTGAAGGGGACGTGAGTACCTCAATAAAGGTTCTTTTCAAAGTCTCCTTTACCCCCGGCCTCTAATTCTCCCCTGCCCAAGGATAGTGGGCTCTGTTTGCCCCACCTGGCCTTGGGTCACCTCCTGGGTTCATGAAGGACTGACCCTTAAAGCTATCACTTACGCTGTCTCAGGACAGCTTTCATGTGAAGGCCCAGGAGGGCCTGGCTTTAGGCTTTCTCCATCCTCTCTGCTCCCTCCCCTCTCCTTGGTGCCCGTGCCCTGGGATTTCAGCTTCAGGCTTGGTGTGTTTGTCTAGAAGAGGGAAGGATCTATCTGTCCACTAGAAGACGTGTTGTCCGCTAGTGACGTCTGCATAGAGGCAGCTACGTGGCACAGTGCATAGTCCTGAGTCAGGAAATCTGAGTTCAAATCCTGCCTCAAACCCCTGTTGGCCGTGTGATCTTGGGCAAGTCCCTTATCCGTAAAATGGTTCTTGTAATAGTAGCCGTCTCACAGGGTTATTGTGAGGATAAAAGAAGAGGACATGTACAGAATGCTTTGCAGACCATAAATGCATAAATGTGTAAATGCTAGCTATTATTTAGTTATTATCATCAAAAACAAAAGTGAAAGACCTGCTCATTTTTCATAGCCTTTATGAAAACAGTGCCTGATGTCCACACTGGAGGAATTAATCTTATTATTATTATTTTTTTTGTTTTGTTTTAGGCAATTGGGGTTAAGTGACTTGCCCAGGGTCACACAGCTAGTACATGTCAAGTGTTTGGTGTGAGGCTGGATTTGAACTCAGGTGCTTCTGACTTCGGGGCCAGTGCTCTATCCACCGCGCCACCTAGCTGCCCCTTAATCTTATTATTTCTGTGATGTGAGGAGAGCCACCTTTCTTTCCACTCAGTTTTTTATTTTGATTTTTTGTCTAGGCAGTGGGGTTAAGTGGCTTGCCCAGGGTCACACAGCTAGCGAGTGTTATGTGTCTGAGGCCGGATTTGAACTCAGGTTCTCCTGACTCCAGGGCCGGTGCTCTATCCACTGTGCCACCTAGATGCCCCCCCCCCCAATTTTTAAAAAGAAAATTAGGTGTATCACTTGTTTCTTAAAGGCTAGGGTCCTAATGTCTAGTCTGGGATCCTACTGAGCCTGGGGCTGGTTGGTTCCCTGACAGATGATACCAGAAGCTAGCCTGGCCCAATTCTACTCTCTGGGCTGGAAACTGGTACCTCCAGAGCATCATGGTAGCAGCAACTGGGCTCAGAGAATCAATGAGTGGAGACCCCAGGCCCCAGATCTGGGCAGTTTCTATAGCAGGCAGTGTTGGTTGAAAATGGTAGTGGATGAAACCTCAGAGTATCTGCTCTTTCTGGTCTTGCTAACAAGGTGCTTCCCAGCCCTGATCGTGGGAGGCACCGCTTGGGGTGAGGATGACTGAGGACATGTCAGCAGGGGCTAGGGTAAGGGGGGTAGTCGCAGCATTCCAGCTGGGACCTCAGATCCTAAGCTCTTCATCTTATGGATGAAGAAACTGTGACCCAGGGCAATAATATGATGTGCCCCAAGTCCCCTAAGAAGTGAATGTCAGAGGCAGAATGAGGCCTCCAAGATCGAGGTTCGGTTTCATAGGATCAGAGGAGGAAGAGAGAGAAAAAGCTTTCTCACCAGAAGAGCAGTTGTCAAAGTTGAAGTCTCCGCAAAGCACGTCGAATGCCACTAGTTCCTCGGGATTGGCTGTGCTGGAGGAGGAGGTAGATTTTCGGAAATCAGCCAGCCAATCCTGAAGCTGATTCAGTTGTTCACATCGAATGGTGCTGTCTTCTAGATGGGAAGAAGAACCGAAAGGAAAATGTGGGCCACCTGTCTCACAGTCAAGGAGGCTGGTACCTGCCTACGAGTGCCCAGATCCCACCTCAGCTCTCTAAGAACCGCCCTTGTGGTTTCCATCTCTAACCTGCTCCCCACTTACAGATTGAGGGTCTTTCCTTCAGAGATACTATTCCAGGAAAGAAGTACATTTTTTTTGTTTTTTTTAAGGACATCTCCCAAAAGCCCATAAGAATTGTGCTTGGGCTCTGGAGAAGGAGCAGAGAATCCAGCTTGCCTTCGAGGGGAAGTCCGTTCAGTTCCCCAAAAGGAAAGAGAGATGCACGTGCCAGCGCTGTGGTCTGCTCAGGACTCATCACTATCCATTGCCCCAGGACAAGAAGATAGTTAGCAGAATAGCAGGAGTTCTTATTCAGTCAGCTATGAGATAGTGGTTCTCTTTAAGCTGTGTAGCTCGCATGGCAACAAACTGGTCCAAGTTCTGCTGCCAGGCCTCCAAACTTCCCAGCATTTGGTAGGGAGTTGGAGCTAACCAGTTTTCCTGCAAAGGGTAGGAATGAACACTGGGTCTCCTCCTCCCTGCCTCCCTTCACCTCTGTGGGCTGCTTGGTGAATTTCGAATGCCTTCTAACCATTCCCCTCATCTTTGGTGCTTATGAGGATTTGGAAAATCCAGAAGAATTGACTCCCTAGGTAGAGGCTGGGGATCCCTAAGCCACCACCATTAAGTCTGCTCTTCTCCCCATCAAACATCGTAGAATCATTCTCACAGGATGTAATCTTGAGGCCTTTTGCTACCCTGGCTGTCTCTCCTCCTCTGGATAAACTGGATATTCCAGTTTATCAAAGTCCTTCGTAAAATGTGACACTCAGATGTGGTCAGTCTGATCAGGGCGGTGTCTAGGAGGATGGCTGCCTCATCACCAGGCCTCTCAATATAGACTGAGGTCCTATTACCTTTCTTGGATTTCATATCATACTGTTGACACATATTGAGACTGCAGTCCACTAAGACCTGCCCCCCAATTTTTTTCTTAGTTTTAGATAAAGTACTATGTAAGTATGGCTCCTATATGCCCTACTTATGATGTATTTTTCTTTTCTTTTTTCTTTTTTTGGCTAAGCAGTGGGGTTAATGACTTGCCCAGGGTCACACAGCTAGTAAGTGTTATTTGTCTGAGGCCAGATTTGAACTCAGGTCCTCCTGACTTCAGGGCCGGCACTCTATCCACTGTGCCACCTAGCTGCCCCCCGACATAGATTTTTTTAAACCCCAAATGTAACACTTTATATTTATCAGAATTAAATTTCATCTTATTTGATCTAGCACAATGTCCTGACCTGTTGAAATAGTTTTGGATCCTGACACTGTCACTCAGTGTATTAACAATCCCTCCCAGTTTTGTGTCTGTTGTATATTTGATAAGCTTGTGATCTCTACCTTTATCCAAGTTATTGGTAAACATGTTAAGTAGGATAGATCCCTGGGACACGTCATTAGAGACCTCCTTCCAAGTAGACGTTGACTTATTAATGACCATTCCAGTTTCAAGTCTACCTAACTGTGCTCTTGTCTGGCTCATGTCCTTTGGACTTTTCCAAAAGAATAATGAGAGGAGTTGTCAAATGCATTGATAAAATCCATCTATCTATAGGGTTCCCCAGATCTAATAACCCTGTCAAAAACAAGGTTAGCCTGGCACGATCTATTTTTTTTTTAAGGCAGTTGGGGTTAAGTGACTGCCCAGGGTCACACAGATAGTAAATGTCAAGTGTTTGGTCTGAGGCTGGATTTCAACTCAAGAACTCCTGACTTCAGGGCTGGTGCTCTATCCAGCATGATCTGTTCTTGATGAAATCATGCCAGGTCTTTGTGATCACTGCTTCCTTTTCTAGATGTTCACCAACTCTCCCTGTAGTAACATGATCTAGAATTTTGTCAGGAATTGAAATCTAGCTCACTGGCTTATAGTCTGCAGATTCCATTCACTTCCTTTCTTTTTTTTGAAAATTAGGACAACGTGAAGATACTTCACATGACCACATAGGCTATGTTGCTCATAGTATTTGGGGCAGTGGAAAGAAAGGTGGCTCTCCTCACATCACAGAAATAATAAGATTAAGGGGCAGCTAGATGGCGCAGTGGATAGAGCACCGGCCCCGAAGTCAGAAGCACCTGAGTTCAAATCCAGCCTCACACCAAACACTTGACATGTACTAGCTGTGTGACCCTGGGCAAGTCACTTAACCCCAATTGCCTAAAACAAAACAAAACAAAAAAAATAATAATAAGATTAATTCCTCCAGTGTGGACATCAGGCACTGTTTTCATAAAGGCTATGAAAAATGAGCAGGTCTTTCACTTTTGTTTTTGATGATAATAACTAAATAATAGCTAGCATTTACACATTCATTTTAAGGTCATATAAGTAGTCTGGAGTTGAATGGTACTGTTTTATACTGATGCACAACCTACTTTTGTAGATGGACTGTTGATGTAGACACAATATATTTTTTTCGGTACATGCTATTAACTTCTGTAGGAAAGGAACCTAGGAAAAAGGCTATGGCTAGGTCCTAATTAATGTAAATGAGTAATCCCATGAAGTGGTCCCATATATTCAAATTCATACTATTCAAAGTTATAATTATATAAAACGTGGTAATTGGTTACAGCCCGATGGAAATATGAAGTGGGAATACAAATAATTAGATCCCTCAATGGGATCTGGGGTTTATTATTCACACTAATCTGGACCTAGTTATAATCCCCAACATCCAGGTGATGTTGTATCCCCTGAAGAACCAAGTCTCTGGTTAGTTTTGAGAGGGGCTTCTAGGCAGTCTAAAGTAGAGCCCTTCTTACACCCTCTTAAAGGCTGGAGTTGACAAGGGCCACTGGCCAGTGAAGAGAGGAGCCTCAGACAAGTATTTCCATACCATCCCTGTAGCATCACCATAAAGCTGGTGAGGCAAGGGACTTGGAGCCAGAACCCATGATTGTCAAAGGAACCCTGAAACTGAAATGCAGGCAGCCTAGAGCCCACTCTGGAAGTGACGAGCCTGTGTGCATAGCTCCTGAAAAGGCATATGTGAAGCATTGCTGTCAGACCAACTCTGCAGGCATAGAAAGAAGCAGAGATGTAGGCATTTTGCAACAGCTGGAGTGAAAACCAGATGCTTTCTAAAAGATGAGTAGCTGGGGAATTGGTGCTGCTGTCTCCAGAGAGAGCATGAAAGAAATACAAAGATATCCAAGTGATCTAAGGTACAGCTTGACTCCTGGCTCTGTGTTCCCATCCTACCTTCCCAGGTCCCTCTGGTGTGCCACACCAAGAGCAAAGGACCCGGAGGTGATTTCAGAACCTGAGCCGAGATTGAACCATTGAACCTTCTGTATACAAGGAATAAAAGGCTAGAGGTGGGTTATGGAGAAGTGGTTCAGAAAGGAAGACAAGGTCTTGAGCTAGTCCTTGACAGCAGATGCCCCCTTGCTTTCACTCCACGTACTCCATTTCCCAGCCAAGCTAGCCTTCAAAAATAGGTAGAAGGTGTCCCAGGAGGAACTTGGTCAATGTTAACAGGGTTAAAGGGTGAGACCTTTGTTCTGGCATTGAAGATATCCCGCCACACAAGGACAAACATCCATCCTGCCACATTTTATACTTTGGTCTGGCATTGGTGATGTCTTCTTGGTGGGCCGTGAATTCTCCTTACCCAGGGCGTCAGGATCCATTGACCTCATACTGATCAATACATGACTAGTTTCAGAGTACTTGGGATACACCTATGAGGCTTTTATAAAGGGAAACTAGAGAAATAGAGATACTAGACCTAAGAGATGCAGATAAAACTTTAAAAAAGCAAACATTAAAAATTGTTTTAACATGTAGTTGGGGGAAAATAAAACAAATTAGAAAAAAAGAAAGTGTGGCTCATAGGTAAAATAAATAAATAAAAGATCAAATAGGGAAGGGAGGGAGAGAGAGAGATACGGGGTGGTGGGGAGGCAGAGGCAGATAAAAGAGGGCCTACAGGAACTCAAATTTTGTTCCCTGGAAGGGACCCTTGTATATCTGCAGGGCTTCTCCAGGGAATCATGGCCCCTTGAGAGAAAGAGCCACATTGCTCAAGGAGAGGAGGAGTTTCTGGACCAAACGTCTTGGAGAGAGAGGTGTTCTTGGGGAAACTGAGTTTCAAGGTGAAGTAAGATCAGGAGCTGAGAAGTAATAAGGGACAGAACCACAAGACGGAGACCTAAATATGGACGTTGGCTTCTTTTAGTTCTATGCATTGTGAAGGTCCAGTGGAAAGGGGTTGATTCTCTAGTAATCACCTGGGTATTTCCCCTAGTGGCGAGGTTTTCAACCTCCACATGTTTCTGTATTTCTGAAGGGCTGGCTGTGTCCTCTGGGGAAGATGAGGTTCATCAGAAGAATAGACAGGCAATTGGGGTTAAGTGACTTGCCCAGGGTCACACTCCTTTTTGGAGGCTACTCATAGTGCTATGAATATAAAGGGCAGGATAGGTCCCTAGAAAAGGTCAGAGTGTACCTGAGAGAGAAAGAGGATTTTCTTGGCAAGTTATGGGATAAAGTGTGAGAGCTTAATGTTTTGTGGTTTTTTTTTTTGTTAGGGTAGATAGAACCTGTCCTACAGTTGATGCATTGTTAGTCTGAGGACCCTTTTGTGTTTTCTGTAGGGACCTAGACACGAGTTACATTCTGATATTTCTAGAAAACTCTGGGTATGGGTCTGAGCTAGAAAGAATAATTGGTGGGGTGCTGCCAAGATTGAACCCAGTCTACATAATCAAGGGTTTTTGTTCTGGCTCTAGATAAACTTCCTAGTTTATGAAATGAAACCAAATGTGATACTTTCGTGAGTATTAACAATCTTATTATTCCTTAAAAGCCATAGCACCAAGTTGGGGAGGAGAATCACTACAGTTCTAGGGCTGAATACAATTTAAAATGGAAGGGAAATGATACCACTGAAATACTGTAAGCAATTTCTGATTTTGTCCCGCATGGCATCTTTTCTTTACTGGGCCTCATGCATCAACAGCAACACTTGAGGTTATCTAAGTGTTAAAAAGCAGGTCTAAAAATAGACCTTCACTGCCTTGGACAAGATGAATCTAAGTGTGCTCTGTGAATGGTTCGTGGCTTTGTAAGATGCCTCAAGGAGGGCAGCTCTGATGCCAAGACCAGTGGTGGCAGTGTTGGGCAATCTCCTTGTACCTCCTGGGAGGGTTCAGGTGCTGTCATCCCTCCCACCAGATCCCAGGATGTCTGCAGATGAATTTTGAAAGTGAGTCTGTGTCTTGCCCAAAATGGGCAAGGTCTGTGTTTTCAAAACTGGTGATGGTTTAGAAGCTGCTCAAAACCTTGTTTTTGACAGCAAATTAATGACTTCACTGCCCAAGTCCCCAAGTAGCTACAAGTACCAGAGTGCTCTGGAGAACTAAATCCACTGGAAAAAAAATAACAACCCGACATCTTCCCCACCAGCCCCAAGCCAACTCTGCGTTGACCTAACACTTGTTAGGTCTTCACTGTAGGGACTTTACTGTGGTTCATTTAACTCACCTACACATTAAACTGAAAGTTGTCTCTGGGAGTGTATAATTTCCCCAAACAAAGCCCAGCACATATCTGGCTTTGGATAGAGTAGTAGCTGAAGTAGTGGAAATATTTTTAAACAGAGCAAACAATATTTTTAAACAGAGCATAAGCTTGCTAACAATTTATGCTGCAATTGGCAGCCAGAAGCCAGGCCAAGAATTTGGACCAGCTCCAGCTGCTGGTTCTTCTAGCAGGCTCACTCTGAGCAAGGACTTTTCCACCAAGCTCCAAAGAGCAAGGCCACTCCAACCCCATTTCCTGTCATGGTGGCCTTTGTTACGGGTCCCTGATTCTCATTTGGGTCAAAGGATTTAGAATGGAAGGGCCTATGGAGACCATCCGGGCCCAACACCCTTCATTTTAGAGGGCAGGAAACTGATGGAAAGTGCTTTACTTTCAGGTAGTAAGTAGCAGAGGATGGCCTCCACCTTAGGTCTTCTGATGTTTTCCTGTATAATGGGGATTTTTCTTTTTAGGATGGAGTTCTGTGAAATTTTTATTTATAACTATATAGTCATTACATAGACGTAACTGATCTTTTGGGTTTTTTGATTATCTTCTGGGCACATCTAAACTGTTGTAAGTATTTAAATTTTAAATGGCAAAATTTAAGGGAAGAATGCAGGTGACAGTTTTATGACTGCCGAGAGGAGGCAGTATGATACAATGGACTGAATGCTGATTCTTTTGGGATGCTGATTCTGTATTCCAGTGTATTCAACATCCTCCCTAGCTTCGTGTACAAATATACAAATATACCACAAATATACCAGCTTCATGGTCATGGTCCCTGGTTACTGTTGTGTTCAGTGCCACTTAAGAATATTCTTTTTTTTTTTTAAGGCAATTGGGGTTAAGTGACTTGCCCAGGGTCACACAGCTAGTAAATGTCAAGTGTTTGGTCTGAGGCTGGATTTGAACTCCGGTTCTCCCAACTTTAGAGCCTGTGTTCTATCCACTGCACCACCTAGCTGCCCCCACTTAAGAATATTCTTGAAGCAAGGATCAATTCATGGCTTCTTGTAGGGGGAATGAAAACCAAATAGAAAGTGAAGCGGTCTTTACTGAGAATGGTGACAGAGCTTTGTGTATGAGATGGTTTTTGTGGTTCCTGCCCTAGTACTGGAAACACGAATTCTCTGGTGGACCCTTTCAGCTCTATCTCTCTGTCCCATAGACTTCTGACTGGAGCATCATATGCCATACACCAAGTGTCACTGTGACTGTATACCATATGCCAACATGGCGGTATCCTAGAATCTCAGCAATTCTGCTTTCTGCAAGGAAGAGCAACATTTTCTGGGTAACCTTGGAATCGTGACAGCTGTCTCCTAGAACAATGGGCAGACGAGCGTGGGAAGTGAAAGCTTCCTTGTCTGCCTTGTTCTTTGGGGTGGAGAGCTTTTAGGGAGTTACTTTGATAATGGAGGCACTACCATGTTCTTTGCAGTTTGAGACACTATGCAGCCTTCTGCTTTGCCCATGCTCTGATTAGCTGGGGTCTGGGAGGAGGGAGGGCGGTGTATGTAAGTGCTTGATTACATGACAAGGTACAATTGTCTTGCTTCCCACAAGGTGGGAGGGTATTTTTCAATGCTATTTTTGTGTGTTGGAGTGCACGAGTTATTTTGCTCTTGTTCCCTGCGCCCTGATGGAAGTAGGTGGGGGTAGTCCTCTCTCTCTGTTCAGTAAAGTGTTGCCTGCATTACAAACCTAAGAATTAAGGAATAAGTAATTCCATACCTCCTTCAGCTTGCAAGTGGGTGCAGGAAATATATCCCACGATTCTTTGGTCCTGAGGTGTACTTCCCACTTGTACCTGAGAAGAAAGGAAGGGGAAGTGGACATAATTAATTAGATGGTAGAAACAGTGAGTTGCCAGATATTTCCTGGGTCATAGATATCCAGCACAGAATTGTTAAAATGGCGAATTAGCACAAACTATGACACATTCCTCTAACTACATTTGCTTGTGTGTTAGGGAGAAGTAAAGAATCAATAGTAACAATTATTTCTCTCTAGCTTCCAGTACCCACTGCAGAAAATGGAAAATATCTCATTAATAGGTCCCAAAGGCCAGGGTAGACTAAAAATATCTGAAAATAATGTATCTCAGAGAGGGACGTGGTCTTAGAGGCCCACTAATACAGTGCTTTGTGTGATGCATGAATTGCCTCTATATTTCCGACAAGTGGTCATGTAACCTATATTTGAAAACCTCAAGTGATGAGGAACTCACTACTTCCTGAGATTGGTGGTTCTGCTTTTGGACCACTCTATTAATTAGAAAGTTTTTCCTTAAATTTGTACCTAAATCTGCCTTCTTGTATTTTCTATCCATTAATCCTAATTCTTTCTTCTGGGGCCAAACAAAATAAGCCTTTCCCCACATTACAATCCTTCAGATATTTGAAGGCAGCTATCATGATCCCTAACAAGTTTCTCTTCCTCAGACCAGATTTCCTCCCATATCCCCAGTTTCTTCAGTGAACATGGCATAACTTCTACTCTCTTCACCGTCTTGGTTGCTCTCCATTTATTGATTTCCTTCCTAAAATATGGTACATAATGCTGCAGATATGGTCTGACCAAAGGAGTGAATGGGTAGACCCTTTGATCTGGGTCTCATCTTTCTAAGGAAGCCAGAGATAGCCTTTGTTTTTTCAGTTATAACATTACACCCATTGACTCATATTAACCTTGTAGTATGCTAAAACTCCTGGGTCCTTTCCACCCCAACTTTCATCTTTGTTCCATCTCCTCACAAATGGTGTTCAAAAGTATAGCAGAGCACTCCCAGCCCTGGTGTGAGCATCTAGACTACCACCTGTGTCATGAGTTTTTCAGTTATAGTGTGAATGTACCACATACCTTTATATACAAAGTGAAGTATGCTATCACCTGAAATATGAGAATCTGTAGAACAATGAGGTGCTTTTTAATGCAATTTTATAGTAATAAGCAGCCAACATTATATACTTTATTTATTGTATTGTTGTTAGAAGTCTTGAGAAATGACATCAAGAAATGGGGCCACACATAGATAATTTAAGTGGTTACTTATTTGTCATGGTGTGCCAGGAGAAACTCTTCACCTTTTTGGGGGCAATTCAGAATTATGGAATCTCAGAGTGGGAATCAGTCAGGCAACAAGCATTTATTAAGTGCCTGCTGTGTGCCAGGCACTGTGCTGGCACCAGAGGGAGACATGATAACCAGCTTTAAGTACTTAAACATCTGTCTTGTGGAAGGAGGGACAATACTTGTTCCACTTAGCTGCAGAGGGCAAAACTGAGAAATGTTGGTGGAGGTTATGTGTCAGGATAAACTTCCTCACAGTGCTGGGACCAAAATGGAAGGGGCTACCTTTGGAGGTAGAGAGCTGCCTTTGGAGAGAGCTATCATGTACTTCCTAAGTCCACTTTTCTCTAGGCTATACGTCCCCGCTTTCTTTAACTGATCCTCATTTGGCATGGTCTTGAGACCCTCACCAACTTGGCTTCCTTCCCTGAGACCTGGAATTAAACACAGTGCTCCAGGTATGGTCTGGAGACAGAGGACAGTAGAACAAACTCCCGAGTCCTGGATGCTCTGCCTCTCCTAATGCAACTCAAGGTCACCTTAGTGGAGAGTTTGGTAATCTCCAGGCCCTACCTCCTGCCCTCTACTGCTCCTAATTCTTGGCACCTTCTTCTTCAGACTCTCACTGATTTCTCCTTGGTGGAATTTTCCTCTCAAAGAAATTCTCCCTGGTGAAGAAACCTTAGGGGTTTCGAGCAAATGAGAAAATGATACCCACCTATGCATAAGAAAAGATGCAGGCACAGAGATGACGGTATGAGCCTGGTCTTTAGAGCCCTTCATAAACCCTCACTTTCCTACCCTTCCAGTGTCCTTACACTTTTCCTACCCTTCATAGACTCTACTATTCAGCTGTGTTGGCCTCCTAGATGCTCCTTGCACAGCATAATCCATTCCCCCCCCTGCTTTTTGGTGAGGCAGTGGGGGTTAAATGAGTTGCCCCAGGTCACATAGCTAGTAAGTGTCAAGTGTCTGATGTCGGATTTGAACTCAGGTCGTTCTGATTCCAAGGCTGGAGCTCTATCCACTGGGCCACCTAGCTGCCCCAGACAATCCGTCTTCTGACTCTAGGCGTTTTCACTGCTTGTCCATCATGCCTGGAACGCTCCTCACCTCCTTGGCTTGTCTGGTTTCCTTCGCATCTCAGATAAAATCTCGTCTTCTGCAAGAAGCCTTTTCTAGTCCCGCTGGATGCTAGTGTCTTCTCTCTGAGTTAGCCCCCAATTTACCCGGATTCTATCTTGTTTGTACAGAGTTGTTTGTTTCCATGACATGGCAATCTGCTTTAGGGACAGGAACCGGTTTTCCCCTTTCTTTGTGTCCTCAGGGCTTAGCATAGTGCTTGGTATGTAGTAGGCACTTAATAAATGCTTGTTGACTTGACCGCTGGATGTCCACGTGGTAGAGAGATTGAATTTTAGTTAAGACAGAATTTGGATCAGCTTATTTGGGATTCAGTTTGCAAATATTCCAAGAATTTTCCATCCACAGGATAGCTGATAATTGGCCATCCTGCACAGTAGCCAAATTGTAAGTGATTTGCTTAAGATTGTTTTGCTAATCCTACTAATTTCCTTCTAGCTGCGAACGTCATCCTTTTTTCCCCCAATATGGTTTTGCTTTCATTTGCAGCCATCCTTTGTCAGTTCTTGCTTCTCATCTTTAATACAGACACACATGAGGGACAGGCATTAGGAGCTGGTGTCGGGAACATGCATGAGCTAGCGTGAACAGTTTGCCCTCCACATCAGGTGTGTAGGAAAAATGGTTTGAAGGCCAGATCTGACCTTCAGCTCAATTTCATGGGCCATGGGAATATCATATACCTTTATTTGTGGTAGGACCAGAAAGGCCACAAGATGGAGGTATTGCTTCACCAAAATTTCTTTAATAGCTAGCCCATGGTATTGCTTTCCCTTTCTTTGTGGAGGTCTTGGCCTTCCTTCTGGCTTTTTCTACCTCCCACCTCTATCTCTTTCTGTTAATAGGCTCTCATTATATTACATATTATATAGGTGTTTGTCCTATTAATTGAAAGGCTTGTGTTCATTGTTTTTGTTTAAAAACTAAATGAGACAAATGTTTTTATATTTCTATCTCTCTCAAACTGTATCTCCCCTCAAAAAACACCAAAATATGAAATGGAATGATTTTTTTTGCTTAACATGGCTATTTATGGATTTTTCCCCATGGCTCAAGGACCTTCCCTCAGTGGAAAAATAGTTCTCTGCCATTACATCAAGTAATGGGAAAAGTGCTGGGTTATGAAAATGAATTTCAATATCCTTGTATTACAAAGGAGACTATGTTTTCCGTCATGGATCTAAAACATAATTAAATAAAAGCTAATGATCATAATTATGAGTTCCATTAGAAATTATCAGACTGAGTCAGTTTAAATTAAACTTTTAACCAAAATACAGCTACAAAATCTTTTTTTTTTTTTCATTTAACACACATTTATTTACCCACAATATGCAGAGAACTGTGCTTGGTACGGAAGGAGACTGAAAGTTTAAATGAGACATCATTTTCCCTCTTGAATCTTATAGACTGATAGGGGATAAATGCAGATTAACATAACATACAACATCACAAGATAAGCTTAGAATGTTACCAAGCCAATGTTATGCTCCCTCTTCTTCCCAGTTCAACATCTCAAATCCCTCCCTCCATCATCTCTTCCTTCCTCTTTTGACTCAATTTGGGAGTTTCCTGCCAGTAACAACCCTATCTTCTCCTTCCTGCCTGCCCTAGGAGTTGGCCTTTTAATCATCCCTTTCTCCCACTAATTTCTAAATGCTCTTTCCATTGGCGCCTTCCCTGCTGCCTACAAAGATTCTCAGATCTTTTCCTTCCTTACTAGCCCTTTAGCAGAACCTACCATGCCTCCTAAAGCTATTATTACCCTGTATCTTTCCTCTTCTTCACAGCCAAACTCCTAGAAGAGCTCTCTGTTTTAGTGGCCTTCCCTTCCTATCTCCCTTTCATTTTCTTTCTTTTAATCATCTAATTTAAGTACTTTAACTTAAAATCCTCCAATTCTAAGAATTCTTGTGGAAATCCCTAATTATTGTTGTCCTTATGTCGTAAAACTGCAGGATTTTAGTGGATTTAGGGACGGACCTCCTCTTTTATCTTGGTGCCTTTGCTCAGGTCTTTGTACATGCCTGGCATGGTATTTTGCTCTTGGCCTTATTCTCTTGGCATTTCTCATGTCCTACTCTTCATCAAATTTCCCCTGTTAGATTGTAAGGTCCTTTAGGGCAGACCCCATCTTATATGACCTTTGTCTCCACAGCTTCCAACACAGTGTCTTGCATATAATTGGTGCAAGCCAATGTTTGTTACCTTAAATTGAAGCCTTAAATTACTGCTTTTCAGCTGGTGACACTGACAATTAGAGTAGGTGGTCTGTGCCATGTTTGTTATAAGTTGGACTTTTCGTGGCAGATTAGCTTGAACTAAACCACCGTTTCAGGTGCCCTTCATGTACCATATGTATAGCACACCTTCTTACTGATAAGTCAACAAGTGCTTTGCCTCCAAATGATAGAACTTCATGGTTCCAAAGTAACCCTAATTCTGGAATTTTCTAGACATGGGAGAGTGAGCTGTCCCAAGCAGCCAACGATGGAGTATCTCTCTTAAAACACATCTGGGTTCCATAGCCCAGTCTTTTACAGTGACTGAACTTCTAATAATTAATTAGATAGAACTGCAGATTTCAATGGAAAT